CTAAATATTATGACGCCAACTGGAAAACTGTTGATGATTTTTAACATTTAAATATTTCCAAAAATTATAAAGCAATCAACTGCTTCAAAGAAAATGGATAGCTGGTTCCAAAATCCTAAAAAGCATTTAAGGCTGAGACCAAACAATATTAGCTTGTTATATCTGTGTTACTTTATAAGTTATTTATTTTTAATTTATTTTATTTATTTCAAACATGATAGCATGATTTCGAACAAAATATCAGACATGTGCAAGCAATGCAAAAGACACATATTTTTTGTACCACAATTATCTTAACATGCTCGAAAAGGAGTAGTAGGAAGAAGTAAGAAACTTATGAACTCTATAAACTCATACCATCTTCTCAGATGGACCCTCATTATTTAAAACAACAACAACAACAAAAAACATAGGTTAATCAATATCAGTATTAATAGTAATGGTTCAATTGGCAGAAATGATACTATTATGCTCAATAAAAGCTTTAAAACTGCTACTAAACTTAACAGTAAGTTTGCTTGAGTCAAATAAAAATTGCTGATAACATTAATATAAGTGTAATAACCTGTATGTTGTGCCATTTTAACAGCAGTAGGAACACTTGTTGATTTTTTGCATAAAAAATCTATTATGTTTTGGATTCTTGTTTTAAGTGATATTGCAAACATTGCAAACAGCAATATCGTTACTCATGGTTGTCATACTGACTCCTGCCTGTATACAACATAATCCATTATACTGTACTGCTGGCTTCTCCTCTTAGGTCCTCGCTTGTACATTTGATTCAAACCTTTTAGAATATAAAAGGTTTTAATCTTTTATATCTGTCAAAGGTTCAAGCCTTTTAGAATATAAATCAAAGGAATAGAGTACATGAGCATTACAAATCAATAGGAATGCTCCATGCATCCAGTGCAGTGCCTCGACATACTTTTCTCATCTGCATGACTTAATGGTTTTATAATGTAGCAACGTGAGATACCTACACATTAATGCATATATTACCCGTGCGTCCTTCACCACTGTGCATTAAAGCACACGTCGACCTGACAGGCACATAGACACATAGGAGTCTATGTGTCAGAAAGTGATTCTTTTTGTTTCTTTTTGATAGGAAGTGGTGGAAGCTTCCATGTCGTGAGTGTTTTGTCCGTGTCGTCAGGGCAGACAGTCATTAGTGTTGTACAGGATATCACCGCAGGCCCACCGCACGCTGCTTGCAGCTGCTGTAGGCATCGTCAGAAACTGAACATGGTGTAAACACCGAGTCCACAGATCCACACACACATACGCGCGCGCGCGCGCCTGCACGAGCCACTCACCACACTGCACCGTACGCCCCGGTTCCTATCTGCTTCAGCCGCGTGTATTTCTCCGGGACTTCCCACACCGTGCTGTTGATTTCCTCGCGGGAGAAATGTCCCCGAGCCTCCATGATGAGACAGAGCAGGCGAAACTGAGGAAAACTTCAGCTCCTGTTTCTCCTGTCACTCGCTCAGAGGAGGAAAGAGAAAACACCAAGTTAGAGATGTCATCCCCTGGTTCCGGTTGTGGAGTTTCAAAATAAAACGACCACATTATAGATGTAAAAACGGACTCGTTTTGTTTTCCAGATGCCAAAATTAGCTGATGATTAGTCGTATCATCCACTTTAGGAATCTGACTGAAGTTTTTTGGTCTTTCTAAATAATCTGGACTCTGTTAGCCTCTTGAAGTCGACATGTCCAAGTTGAAAGAACCAAATAGAACAGAACATATAGACTGGACAATCTAAACTGACTCCAAGTTCAGATTCAGTTTTCCTGCTGGCTGCTGCACATGAACTCAATCCACTCTTATTTGTTAGAAAGTCCAGAAAACTCAGGCGGATGCCTCAAAAATCGGCTGAGATCTACGACTATCTAACAAACAAACTGCAGTTTGTGAGGCTGAATGATTGTATCTAATCAGATCAGGTGGTCAGCAGTACAGTAGCACCAAAGGGGACTGTACTCTCACTATTTCTTTTTTTTCCTCTTTACAGCTGAGTCTTCAAGCGTGAGATGACATACTCAGATGACTCTCCATCCGCCAGTCGTCCGGCGGATGGAGAAACCATACTGGACAGCCATTTTGGATTTTCAGTTTGAGGATGGTCAGAAATTTCATACTTTACAAATCGTCATTTCAGCTCAGATGATAATTAACTTTTTTTCTTCTTCAGACTTTGCATTGAGGTTCACAACCTCAGACCTCAAGAAATCAAAAACTCAGTCTGCAGTCTGTACAGTTCGCTGCCTCCAGAGCCACTAAGAGCCACTAAGAGCCAGGGGAATTCTGCAGTGTCTTTTTATCACTTTATTTGTTTAAAATAACTTCAAATACAATTTGTTTAAAACTAGCAATAGATAGATAGATAGATAGATAGATAGATAGATAGATAGATAGATAGATAGATAGATAGATAGATAGATAGATAGATAGATAGATAGATAGATAGATAGATAGATAGATAGATAGATAGATAGATAGATAGATAGATAGATAGATTATTTATTACAGACTCAAAGTCCAAATTACATAAAAAGAAAACAAATACAATAAAAATAAAAAAAGTATCCTAACCATTCAGGAGGCAGTCATACCAAAGTCTCCAAAATGCAGATGAATATTTTACTGCACTATATTTAGCATCAGTCAACATTAGGGTAATTCTATTTTTGGACTCATTAAAACGGCAAATACATTTTTACATAAGCTTTCTCAAAACAGCCATGAAAGTGCTGATGCGAGCAAATACAAACTGAAACTGGTCCATCTGGGCTTTTTAAACAAACCTCTTAATGCATCATTATAAGAAACTTTCAATCTATGAAGATCTATCTGTGCACATCGTTGTCTTTTTCCAAATCTCTGCTTTTAAATGTTCAGCTGATTCAACACACTGAATCAAAGGAACAGTTTGTAACCAGACAAAAACAACAAGAAAAGCAGAGGAAGATATTCACCTACTCATCTATCTAAGATTTGAACAGCTTCTTTCTTTTTTCTAAATTAGTGAATCCTAATTTTGTTAAACACAGTGAAACCAGTCTCTTGTAAAAACTAGCTCTTTAAACATTTAGAAAGTAATATCTTTATTTATTTACATACATTTTTATTTTCACCGGACTAATATAAAAATAGGATAAAAAGAAATAATAAAAAAAGTAATTATACAACAAAAATAAAATTTCCCCTCTCCAAAATGAAGCAAAATTTTCATTTGAAAGGAAGGTCACTCAAGTTCCTGCTGGATTTTAACATCGACTTTATGAATGGGTCATCAGATCCTTTTGTAAACTGAACTCTATCTCTGTTTATAGGCAGCACAGCAGAATATCTAACATTTATTTTAGTAAATGAAGAATATATCAGAAAAGATAAAACTAAACTAATCGCCTGAAATCTCACCATTTCCTGTGAGATAAAATCTGCCGCTTTGCCTGCTGAAACATGTCAACATGACTCGCTTTTCTCCCACCCACACATTGTAGGTGTTACTTGTCATGAATAATTACTGTAAATTGGCAAAAACGTATGAATCACGGCAGCCCACTGAGGGACGGTAACACAAACAAGAACGGGCGAAGCATGAAGATCTTTGACTTTTCAGTCTCACACTGAACGTTCAAATGAAGGAGTTTCAAATTGCATACACTTTGTTACACTGTTATGATGAAACGTTCGAAATGAATTGCGTCCCTTTGTGAAATGTGCCTGAAAACCTCCTGCTCAGACGCCTTTACCATTTCTACTGGCTTCTTTCAATGCAGAGGTGCAACAGTTTCACTAAAAGCTCACTCTGAAACAGATGACTGCAGCTGCTCACGCTTTCTTTAAGGCTCACTGGAGTCTCCCTAGAAAAGAACGCAATTTTTTTTAAATGTTCAAACTAAAGAATAGTGTGCTGTGTGACTTTGGTTTTTGATATTGCGTAATCTTCTACTTTTTTATTCTTTTCAGGGTTATCTTTCAGTCATTGTTCTTCCCTCGTGTTTGGTTTATTATAAAAAGCATTCCCACAACATGAGGCTGCCACCTCTATGTTTCAGTATTTGGATCAGTATATTCAAGGTAATGTAGTTTTTTTTCCCCCTACGCATTGCATTTTGCATGTGGGTCAAAAACCTTGTGTTGGTGTACTACACCAAATTGTAATAAGATACTTTGTGGTTGTAACCTGCAGGCATATGCAATAAAAACGTAGAACTGATATTGAAGTTAGCAAAACTGTTTGTATATTTTTCTTAATTGTTCTCACAATAACAGGAAAAGCCTCATAACTGTCAGTTTAATTTGTTGCTCCAAATTCTCATTGGTGTGTGTGTGTGTGTGTGTGTGTGTGTGTGTGTGTGTGTGTGGGGGTGTGTGTGTGTGTGTGTGTGTGTGTGTGTGTGTGTGTGTGTGTGTGTGTGTGTGTGTGTGTGTGTGTGCAAGGCTTAGTTGTACATAAAAAGAAAAAATAACTTCCATTGATCTTCTCTCTTTGCTATCACTGAAGAACAGTTATTATCCTTCACCTGATTTTTACTTGTGCCATATTCTTTTTTTGTGTGTGTGTTGACATTTTTTTTTACAAATTGAACATAGTGTAAATATATTAACTTCCACACTAAGCTGCATTCATAAATCTGTTACCAGAAGTTAAGTTTTAATACTAAACCAATTCTACAAGCTAAAAATATCCAGACTACAGTTTTTATCAATAATAAAGTAGAGTGTACCACACCAATGGAAATGCTTTGACTTATCTAACAATGTTCATGTTATGTAACTGTGGTTATATAATAAGGATTGTAACCTTCATTCCAAATCTGGGGATGAAGCTTCATTTCCATCCAGAACATGAACAGAACCAACATAAGGACTCAAACCCAGTCTACAAACAGGGTTTCTTTTAATAAATACAGAAGTTTCTAAAGCATCACAAGCAAAATGTTGCATCTGAACATGCTTTTTGGTTGTCAGACAGACAGGCTTTCAGTGCAGATGCCAGTTTTAGTGCCAATATATTATTCATATGGAATATTATGTTTTGCTCCGCCATGCAGACAAAGTTGCTCATGGGGCGTTCTTGTTGCCATGTGACCAAGAAGGAAGGAATAGAAACCTCCATAAACTTCCTCTCAAAAATGCTTTTGGTGCAGTTCAGAAGCTAGCTGCTCCTCTTGGCGTCAGGCTAAGAGAAAAACACTTTCCTGCCCACCATCAGCGGTCGACATCATGAGCAGCATCGTTCAGAACCCCTGTGTTGGTCGGACGCCAGGTGCTAGGGTGAGTACATGCATATACAGAGTACGTGGAGAAAACTTCTGACATGCAGAGAAAAAAGATGCACATTCCAAATTAACAAGTGAAATATTTCTGACATCAAGTTATCTGAGACATAATTTCTTTCTAGATGCCCAAATCTGTGACTCGTGAAAGCAGTGGAACCTCCAGAAACAGCAGCATCAGCAGTGACAGCAGTGGTTCTGGAGGGAACATCCGTTCTCTGCTATCCATGAGTGAGAGCGTGCACGCAAATCTGAGCAGCTTCTTTCCAGAGCAAGCACTCGAGAAGGAAGAAACCCGTCAGCGGAGCCACCAGCTGGAAGAGATAAAGCGCCTGAAAGAGGTTCATGCTGCTGCTCAGCTCAAAAACCTAGAGGATTTTCTGAAGATAAACCGAATCTCTCTCAGAGACAGTTTGGCCCATACCACAGGGATGATTTACAGGTAAAAAAAAAAAAAAAAAACACACAACACAAAAACAACAGGATACAAATGGATGCAAAATCAAATCCAAAGATTAGTGAAAACAAAATATAATGAATAAAACTGGACATTTCAGGGACATGAATTATTTTAGTCTTAAAAATAATGATAATAAAAAAAACTCTCCATTGCTTATTGTTTGATAAAATGCAATAGTACATTTTCACAAGGGACTAATGTACTGAGATTATCTGCTATATATGTATAAACAAATTAATTATTTTTTGTGTCAACAGAAATTTGGGAAAATCAGGACTGAGGGTGTCCTGTGTTGGATTAGGTAAGCATAAAGTTAAAATAAAAGACAATCTATAATATCAACAACTACAATTAAAAGAACAAACAAATAAAAATTGCCAGCACATTGGACAGCCCTTTATGGAAGTACATATGTGTCACAAGGTACAGACACGGTGCTAGCACGTGGGCCTATGGCGTACTCATGCTGGTTAAAAGTTAAAGTTGGGATTTGTTTCCATAATCCCCTATGCACCCATAAAAAGTTAAGTATTCCTGTTTTGTGCAGGTACATGGGTTACCTTTGGAGGCCAGATCACAGATGAGGTAAGAGAAAATGTAACTACATCATCATTTACAGGTCAGAGGAAGGGCAACTACACCGCGTTCCAAATTATTATGCAAACTGGATTTAAGTGCCATAAAGATAAAATGATTTGTTTATACATATATTAAACTTATAGATGGTATGAATCACTATCATTAATTTCAGAGATCTGGGTTGATTAGTTTGTCTGGTGAGCTTAATTAAAGGAAATCTACTTAAGAAGGATGTTCCACATTATTGAGCAGCCCACAGGTTTCTAGCAATATGGGAATGAGAAAGGATCTCTGCTGATGAAAATTATCAGATAGTGTAATGCCATATAACAAGGTATGAAAACATTAGATATTGAAACTGAAGCGTTATCATTGTACTATGAAGATATTTGTGGCTGATTCAGAACAAAGATGGGTTTGTACAGATAAAGGCCTAATGAGGAAGGTTTCTGTTAGAAAAAGTCATGGGATTAAGAGAGCAGCTGTTAAAATGCACTTACAATGCAGCAAACAGTTATTCGAAGCTGCTGGTGCCTCTGGAACCTCCTAACCTTGAAAATTATACTGACCATCATTTGCATTGACAATTTTAAAAAATCTGAAAAAATGACACTTGCACAATAATTTGGAACACGGTGTAGTATACATCAATTTGTTTGCTTAACATCTACATTATTTTCGTCCCAGGTGGCAGAGGAAATGACAACTTTGGCGTATGAGAGTGGAATCAATCTGTTCGACACCTCTGAAGTGTATAACTGTGGAAGGTAAGAGGGACCTTAAAGCAGGAGTGTCTCTTGGAATTAATTCTGTGGAAGAAATCAGACTTTTTTGTAGATATTTAACACAATTTTTTTTCACCCTGTGTAATTATGTATAATTTTTTTTCTAAATCTATTTATTTACTGTAAATTTGCCAGCAAAAATTTCCCCTGGAAAAAAATTACTTGCAAAAAGCAATCTAGATTGGGCCTAAAAAAATCTAACTTGGCCTGTCCAATTTATGGGAGAATATTACTGCCATAAGTTGAGAGAACACATCTTCATTTTAAAAAAAGGATTTAATGTAATTTGTTTTCCAAAGCATAAAGTAATGTGACTGCAATGCACATATAACAATAGATAAAAGATCTAGAAACAAGTTATGCACCGAGCCATGAAGGATGTGTTGAATTTTCACACACAACTGTTTGAGACTTGCTTCTACATTGTAAACCGATCTCCCATTTGATAAAAGGGAGCGAACATGTTTGTGCCACTTTAAATATATATGTTAGAGATTTTGCATTTTGCATCCAATTTGATATGTGATTTCTCCCACTGCAGATATTTTAAATAAAACTTGGGATTAGTAATCCCAAATTAGCCACAGACTGTCTGAGTCTGCGGTAAACGCTAAATATCAAAGATTTAACAGCTTTCTTTCCTCTGCAATTTCTCAGAGCAGAAGCCGTGTTGGGAGGCATTATAAAGAAGAAAGGGTGGAGGTAGATTGTTTTTATGGTTATTTCAATAATTGCTTGTAATTTATGCAGTCTAAAATGAGTAAAATATAGTTGCCTTCCTAAACTGATATCATTTTTAAAATATTTTCTTCCCTAGTTAATAAAACCTGTTTTATTAACTAACTTAAATTAACTAGACACTGTGCATACAAAGCAACATTTTCTGGGTTTTTTTGTTCAATTGCAGGCGTTCCAGTCTTGTTATCACCACCAAACTCTTTTGGGGAGGAAAGTATGTACATATTTTCTTGTCTTCTATGTCTCTGTATGTAGCAAAAGAAATCTGGAGTCTTGTGTTGACAAAGAAAATGCAGTGACTATATTTAAAGCAAAAATGACTTTGAAGTCAGCAGCGTCATCAGAAGTCACACGAGAAACGATGGGAAAGTTTTGTAATCCCGAGGAAAACAACGAATGAAGTTTTGAGTCAGAAATGCCTCAGAACACCAGAGAATGGGCTGCATTATTTTTCAACTGTTGGTTGAAGGACAATGGAAAAATATTAAAGCTATAGCTGATACCAGTCAGAGTTCAATCCCAGTTTCGCATCCTAAGTCTGACCAACTCAATCTCTTATGATCATCTAATTCAATTCAGTTTATCCATCTCAATTTACTAAGTTTTTATAACTTAATTCATTAAGTGTGTTTAACATGACAAATTAAAGTCACTCTTACTCAAATAATTGTTTTTCTAATAAATAATTAAAATCTCTTTGTCTTAGTTCTACAGAAAGTTAACTCAAATGTTTAAGTTGTTACAAGTTAACAAACTAAAATATCCAAAATTATGGTATTACTCACATTTTGCTCAAAATATATCTAAATCTTCAATTATTTTAAACATAGGTTTTAACATGTTATTTTAGTTTATCAAAGATTGTGTACATTGAAAAGTTGACATAGTAGGACCAATTTAATTGAATTGCTTCAATAGTGACAAGTAATTCAGTCAAGTTGGTTCACCTGAAGGTATTAAGTTGATTTAACTCAATTTATCAAGTTGACTTAACTGGAGAAATTTAAGTCAGTCTTACTCAAATCCTTTAGTTTCTTAAAATAAAGAAGTAAACAAAGTTTTTTTGGGTCAGGTGGCCTTTATTAGAGAGAAGTTAGACAGGAAAGAGACGACATGCAGCAAAGGTCATCAGGCTACAATCGAACCGGCGACGGCCATGCAGAGGACTAAAGTCTCCTTAGTCCTTAGATTAAACGTAGACCCAGGATGTGATGGACTTGACTTACCGGTTTTCACTGGGTTTTAGTCCTGAACTGAAGCTAATTTTTTTTAAAAAAATAGTGGGGAATATTACAACAGAGACTGGGTCTGACTGTGGGCCCATGTCATTGCAAACTCTGCTGATAAAGAATCAGATCTTATCAAAATTGATATATGTTTGAAAGTAGAACAAGTACTTTTTTATATCAACAAATCAACAATAAATACATTTCTTTCTGTTTTTTAGTGCAGAAATGGAAAGAGGACTTTCTAGAAAACACATTATTGAAGGTAAGATATGGAAACACCTTGACCAAAACCTCGCTTTGATTTTCTAACATACATATATGAAAGTACATGTTTTGGGTTTTTTATAATATTTTAATTTGATACATTTTGTTATTAATTAGCAAAAAAATCATTATATTTGACAGAAATAATGACTCTTGAACATCTGTCTCGCGAAGTGTTTCACTTAGTGATGGAGTTAGCGAACTAAATAAACTTTTCAGGAATATTGAATGATGGCAGTGTGCATCTAAATTTAACAGGTTTAAGAGCATCACTGGACAGACTTCAGCTAGAGTATGTGGACGTTGTGTTTGCAAATCGACCAGATCCATACACACCTATAGAAGGTTAGTGTACATATTTTTGAGATCAAGCGCTTCTTTTCATTTTGCTTTTTACAAATTGTTTTAAATTGTTTTTTCTCAGTGCAATACTAAGAACTGGATTACAATTCTCAGCCTGCCAGGTTTTCGAGTTAAAGAATGTTTGAAGTTAACAGGAAATACAAAAATTTCCCTTGATAATTATGTATTATTGAAAGATTAATGCCTGAATATCAACTATAAAGTCTTACAAAATGCAAACATATAAAAAAACTAAAATAAATAAGCAATTCTTAGCCTGGTGGTTGCCCAAGTAAAGCCTGGTGGCCCACCAGGCTAATAATACACTAATAATACCCCATGAAACCTTGCAATTGGTTAATGTATTCTGCTTGTGTACATTTTCCATTTTGTTGTGGTCCAGTTTGTAACCCCTTTGGTCTTTTTTTTTTCTTGTTTTGCCAGAGACAGTAAGGGCAATGACCTATGTCATCAACAGGGGGATGGCTCTGTACTGGGGAACATCACGATGGAACTCCATGGAGATTATGGTGAGTTTTATAACAAAATACTAATTAGTTTCTCAGCATTAAACTAAGCAAGGCTTTCGTCTTGCTGAGTTGGAGTTGATGGTGAGACCCAAAAGTGAATTTGTCATCAGAAAAGAGAACATGGACAGTTCCACTCACTGTCCACCTTAAAATCTGATGTGGATCTGAGCCACAAAGCCAAGCAGGAAACAAGTTCAACACATTATTATAGGCATGGTAGGTAACTCCAGCATCCAAACAGTGAATAATTCAACCAAACATGAGATTAGAACTAAAATAAGTGTTTCTGACCCATTAATATGCTGACTAAACCACATCCAAATGGTCGTCTGTGTCTGTCATCCAGTTTGTGTTTTATTATTTTGCTAAGGCTTATTTTATAGTCATTTCGATGAGGTGCAATTCATATGCTTCAATCTCCAACTGAAACATATTTAATGAGTTAAGTTGGAAATAAATGACAAACTTAATTGAATTACTTGTCACCAATTGAAGCGATTCAAATAAGTTGGTTCTACTATGTTTATTTTTAAAATTTAAGTAAAAACAGATCCTTCAGGTTAATTAAATTAAAGTTAGTTAAATTTCTAAATTTTAAGTGAATTGAACACAAAAAAGTAAGTTGTCATCAATAAACCAAATGAATTAAGTTAGACTAATGTAAAAGAAAGAAAATTCCCATAGTTGAATTGCAGCCAAAAACACTTTTTATAGTGCAGAGTAAAGATATCGTCATGAGCTACAGACTAATGGGGAATAGCAGCCAGTCAAAATGTCCTGAAGTTTACTTTAATCTTTGATCAGTCAAATTGTAAAACAGTAAAAGCAAGTTTTGATAATAATACTGGATTAGCATCAGCATAACAAAAGCTAACTGTCTCTTGTTTTCACTTTGTGTATTTTTTGTCACCTGCCATTGAGTTAAAACCCTTTAACTGTCAAAAAAAGACTTCATTTAATCTTTTCCAGGTCAGAATTTAAACTGGAGATTATCAGGCAGATTAAATCAGCCTGAGCAGATTTAAGATCCTCAAGCTGATTAAATCTAAACTTGATCATTCTACAAAGAACATATATAAAAAACACAACTGAGAGAAAAAGGGATTCTCATTTTCCATCCATCCATCCATCCATCCATCATCCATCCATCCATCCATCCATCCACCATCCATCCATCCATCCATCCATCCATCCATCCACCATCCATCCATCCATCCATCCATCCATCCATCCATCCATCCATCCATCCATCCATCCATCCATCCATCCATCCATCCATCCATCCATCCATCCATCATCCATCCCATCCATCCATCCATCCATCCATCCATCCATCCATCCATCCATCCATCCATCCATCCATCCATCATCCATCCATCCATCCATCCATCTGTGCATTATGCTGACATCATTGTCTGCATAATGAATTTTTGGCTCAAGCAAAAATTGAATAGCTAAAGAATACCTTTTTTCCCTGGGTCTGTCTGCAGGAGGCGTATTCTGTAGCACGACAGTTCAACCAGATCCCTCCCATTTGTGAACAGGCAGAATACCACATGTTCCAAAGGGAAAAGGTGGAAGTGCAGCTCCCACAGCTTTACCACAAAATAGGTAAGCACCTTGCATAGTATTTGGGAAAGATCTGAGGTTCTGAGGAGGCTGAAACAATCACAGAATCATACACAGTTCCTTGGTGCACAGGAAGTGGGAGTTGTTTCAAATGCCCAATACCAAATTAGGACACATAACATAAACAGGGGTACTCTGAACCAAATAGACAGCCAGAGGGGGAGGCATCCTTTACCAAGCTTCCTCCAAGGCCACTCAGATAAGTTGAGCATCTCATCCTGCTCCCATAGTGGGGTGCACTAACTATTTGTTATCTCTTCCCTTCCAGGCCGCTGGCCTTAGTCCTCCTTTTTACCTACACAAAGGAGATGCAGCTGGATAGGAGAGAGAAATAGAAAACAGCTTATACAACTCAGAATATTTTATATATTAATATTGTAGATAATTAATTTTGTTCCACAAGAGGACTGCATTACTTCAGGATAAATTATGAAACAATTTTTTATTGTGAATGTGTGATGGTCAACCATGTGGATTAAGCCATTTAAAGTTGATAGAAGTTGATATAAATACACAAATGAAGCAGCCTGACTGAGGTGTTGACTGTTGCTGGCCCAGATAAGGTGGGTTTGGCACCATCATGTGGCCAATTAGGATGACTACACAATGTGGACAGCTCACACTCCAACAGCTTATCACTGTTTTTCACATGTAGAAATATTGAAAATGCCCCTAAAGTGTAGTTCATACAAGTTGGTGGCTGTTTTTCTTTTGCAAACCGCCAGTTAAAATCAAGAAGAAGAAGAAGAAACAGGTTGCAGGTGTGAGGGGAAAGAGCAAAAGGCATGAGTACAAATAGAGAGAGAGAGGGAGTACACAGGGAACTAGGAAATAAATAAACACTCAAGAATAACTAGACCTACGAAATAATTGTAGCTAGAATCGCTAATGAAGGACTGAACTAAAGTAAAACAGAAACAGTCTATTAAAAAGAAACTAAGGAATATAGAAAAGACCAACTTTAACTCAGTTAAAGCGCTGCATTATTAAGGTTGAATAGTAAACGTCATTCTGTTACTGAGCAATATTTTAAATTCAATTTATTTATCTGGGAATTGCAGGTATTGGAGCTATGACATGGTCTCCATTGGCCTGTGGGATAATCTCGGGCAAATATCGAAGTGGAATACCGCCTTCTGCACGAGCGTCTCTTAAGGTAACAAATAATTCTTCTGCTACAACTTTTGCTTGCTAAGCTTTGCCTCAACCATTAGCTTTTACACAAAAACAATTTCTGACAGAGAAAAGTTACACAAATGGGTTAAAACAAAAATATTCAGACTTTTCTCTGTGCCTAAATTTAATTGTTGCAGGTTTATTGGGGAATGGTACCATCGTTAGCCATTAGTGTGTCTAATAAACCTTGAAGAGATCATCAGTCTGTCATAGGCATTTACATAGACATCCACTGGCCGCTTTATTAGGGACACCTTGCTAATTCTGAGTTGGACCCCCTTTTGTTTTCAGAACTGTCTTAGTTCTTCGTGGTATGTGAAGAACTGTGTGATGCTATCATGTCAATATGGACCAGACTCTCTGAGGAATGTTTCCAAAAACTTGTTGAATCTATGCCACGAAGAACTAAGGCAAAAGGGAATCCAAACCGGTACTAGCAAGGTGTACCTAATAAAGTGGCCAGTGGGTGAACATGTTTATCACACTGTGTCTGAATAGGAACAGTTTTGGTCATTTTCCATAGTTAAAATCTGATCTGTGATATGTGTGTGCGATCTCCCACAGGGATATGAATGGATAAAAGACAAGATAATGAGTGAGGAGGGTCACCGAGAGCAGCGTAAACTGCAGGAACTAGAAACCCTCGCACAACGTCTGCAGTGTACCTTGCCACAACTTGCTATTGGTAAACTATACTGGGTTTTCCTGTGACTGTCATGTTTTTTCTATCACATTATTTTGGCCATTCTGGAATATTTAGTCTTTTCTGGATAACCTTTTTTTTTTTTTTTTTTAAGTGCTTTGTGTCATTCAGAGGTTTTCATTCAACACTTTTCCTGTTTTTGATTTTCATTTTTAAGGCGTAATATTGAATATGAGACAAAATATAAATTACACCCATTAAGATTAAATGGAATTCCTGGGCGATCCCATCCCATCCAAAAGCACATGCTTAAATCAACATTTGGACACAGTCAACACATTTCCTAGATAGTAATATTTTTGCTATTAATGAGTGAAAAAACAAAGTCCATCTTAAGACACACCCCTCACCCTGATAGGGGTGAGGGGTGACTGTCGCTAGATTATTGAAAATAGATAAACCAGGGGTGGCCATATTGACCCAAAATATTGATAATATCAAATTGGTATTAGAATCAACTGATACAGACGAGTGTAATAAGAACAATTCTTTAGTTTAAGATTAGCTCTTGAAAATTTGTTAATTTTGCACCTTAGTTTCTCAACTGCATTGAAAAAAATTGCCTTGATCAGCTTTCAAATGAATTCACATAGAGTTTAAATATTGTTTAAAGGTGACTAAGCGTGCTGTGGTGGTTCTTTAGTAAAATATTTCAGAGCTATGTGGAACATATCTGCTGGTTATTGTGTGTAGTTTGGATGTTACATCAAGGGGCAAAGTTGAAGACATTTTGTCAAACTGCGCACCTTATAAAGATTATAAAATATTTTTTTTCTTGTAAAATGTATTTTTTTTCTTCACTAAACGCCAGTGGTTTGAAGAGCACACAGCTCTCTGATACGAGTGGCTAAACAAAGACAACTCTCTCTCATATCACACCTGGACATATATAAATATATTTATATGTGTGTATATATGTGTATATATATATATATGTGTGTGTGTGTGTTTGTGTGTGTGTGTGTGGGGGTGTGTGTGTGTGTGTGGTGTGTGTGTGTGTGTGTGGGTGTGTGTGTGTGTAAATATATTTACATTTATATATTCCTGTCTAAAGATTATATATATAATATCGCCATTATTTTAGACTGTGGCAGGAAGCCGGAGCGCCCGGAGAGAAACCTGCAAATTTCTTTTTGATATGTCATTCATAAAATTTAATTCCAAAATGTAATGACTGACATTTTGTATTTACATGTCAGAAATACATTTAATTATTTCTGAGCCTTTATTCTGAAGTAAAGGCTCTTGGGAAGAGAATTATGAGAGAGGAGATTCAAACCCAGGACTTTGTTGCTGCAAGGCAACAGTTGTCCCAACTGAGCCGCTGTGCAACCGTTTTGTTCACAAAATTAATGTTTTATTCACATCTAAGGAGAATTTAGAGGCCAATTACCCAAACAGTCATGATTTTAGACTGTGGCAGGAAGCCGGAGCACCCGGAGAGAAACCTGCAAACAGGAAACCTGTCTAATCTTTTTACCCATCCATCCCAGAAAATTTTTAGCACCTAATTTAGAAATTTCTAGCTCCTCTCAGCTTTAACGCTATTGAGAGGAGGGCCTGTAATGGCCCCCTAATTGAACTACCAACACCTGAGAAAGAAAGGAGGAAGAGCAGCACAAAGTAAGATTTGTTCATTTCAGATCCATCTTACTTTGTGCTGCTTTTCCTCCTTTCTTTCTCATATATGTAAAGAAATCCTGTCCTTCATGTCTTCACTGCAGACAGCCGCTGCAGTGAAGACATGATCGTCCATTGCTTTTACTACTTGACGTCCATGGGGTATGCAAGTATAAAACTTGGTCTGGTCAGACCCACTGCAGATGACCGAGGACAAATGATACTGCTCTGGTCCATGCTCTCCTGGTACTGTCAACGTCTGGTTGGGTTTAACTTTCTGAAAACTGTGTTAATCTGGCCGACTGCGGCAGGTGGAAGACCAACACATTGTTGTTGGTCAGGCAGTGCTTATAAGTCAGCCCTGCTCCACAGCCAGGACAAATTGTTTTGAGCCCCAAAGTCAACCATCGGCTAAAAAGTGCCTTGATGTTTTTCTCTGAACGAGGTGTTGGTAGTTCAATTAGGGGGCCGTTACTTAAAAGCTCTAAACAATCTGCCCGGCATGTGGAGCAGCTGCCCTCACTGTACAACTCCGTGTCGGTCCGTCCACCGAACGAGTCAAGCCAGACTAACACCAGATTTAACAAAGATCGAATGTCCAATTCCCCTCCCTTTCCCAATTCCCTCTCTTTCAGCTCCTCCAGGACTGGAGCGATCTCTGCAGGAGAGACATGTTTGCCAGGGTTTTGAACAGTTGACAGAATCAATTCAGAGCAGGATGGAATGGGTGATGCTTCCAGGAACACCTTCTCCTGAGCGAGACATCGCTTTGTCTCGCTCAGGTTCAGGACAGACTGTAATGCTGCGTTCACCCAGCTGTTTCTTAAATAATTGGAGAACTTGCAGTAGTTGTTAGAAATGTTCTCTTGCTGTTGTAGTGTGGAAAACCAGACATCTGTTGGTTTTCTGGCCAAACCCTTTGCTCCAAAGGATCAACGTCCCCCTCCGGGTCCGTTGATCCTTTCGGAGCGATACTTGCACTATCCCCAACGACTTTTCCCTCATCCTCAGAGAACTACCCAGCCGGGGTAGAGCTCGCTGAGGATGAGAGGGCTACCCCAGCCGGGGCAGCCTGGTCGTTGGGGACCTCCACGAACTCAGTGGCAGAAGAAACCTTCCCCGCCGGGTCGGTTTCTTCAGTATCCACGGTACTGCCATTCAACGGTGAATCAGTTTCAGTAAAATAATCAAATACCTTTTTCATGCCAGATGTTACGACATAGCCGAGTCCCCAGCCGAGTGGCAGAGCAAACGGTACCAGCGCATGAGAGAAATTAATCATTTCTAAGAAATATGACGTCAGGAATCAATGAGAGTTCTGGATCGAGAATGTTCAATGTCTTGAGATTCCAACATTTAAAGGCTCAGAACATCTTTGATCTATTGTGATGTATTTGATGTCATCTATGACATCATCAATGAACTCACTGTAGTTTTTGTTTAAAACTTATTTAGCATGAAGAGATTAACAATAGATTTATATTTGACTGAACTTTTGCATTCGTATTTATACATAATATATTCATTTTGTAAGCAATATTTCTACACTTGAATTACTCGCCTGATCTTTACTTTGTTTGACACAGTGCAGTGTGAAAATGAACGGCTGAAAATGTAATAAATGTTGCATTTTTAGCCCAAGTCAAACCAAGTTGTAACACTAAGGTTAGCTAGTTTTACTGCTATATGCTATGTAAAATGGCTGCTGGAAGAGACAACTGTTTTGTTGTTGAATTACAATTTAGAAGCCACCAGCTGCGTTCTTGTTCGCTGCGCAGGAGGCTCCACTTCTTCTGCTTTTGGGTCTGACTCAGGGTCAAAGATGGACACTTGTCGAACTGCGCACCTGGTGGCAGCCATTTTGTCTAACTGCGCACCTGGTGGCAGCCATTTTGTCAAATTGCGCACCTGGTGGCAGCCATTTTGTCGAACTGCAGGACAACGCGGAGACTCAACCGAACACAGAAACCTGAATGAATACACAGAAAAACCAAATCCTCACATTAATTAACTCAAAATGTCTGCAATGGGCTCTTGAGCTTCGAGATTAACTCTTAGTCTGGGCAGAACTGAATCCAAGCATATTTATTAGTGATGGGTAAATGAGGCGTCATGAAGCGTTTGGACTCGTCGCAAAACTGTGTCGATACTGTGTCACTGAATACTGAATAAAAGTAAAAACCTTACAATTTGCTTTTGTAATGATTTGTATTAAAACTTTTTACATGGATTCCAAGATGTTCATTGTATCTCAGTCATGATTTGGCTGAGTATGTCGACGTCTGCAGTTATAGTGATGGACTGCATGATGTGTTAACTGAACAAAATGCTTTCCACTGGTCACAGCTGTATGGCCTCTCTCCAGTGTGGATGTGTTGATGGACTTTGCTCACACAGTCAATTTCTCTCCTGTTTCTGCTGTATTTCTGTGGGACCAAATCAGGAGAGACATTGAAGGAAATATAGTAAAATATTGCATCATAATTATGCAAGACAGAATGAAAGATTTTCCATAAGTTCTTGTGGAGGGAAACAAAGCTCTTTCATTACGCATGTTCTTTTTTTGCATTGATAGCTAAAAGAAAACATCCAGTCTTGTTTGGTTGGTGGTAATCTAGATTCCAGATTTAGTAACTTTAAACATATTTTACAAGATCCAATGATGTGCAGATTTACAACAATCACAGACAGACAGACGAAATAAATCAAAGTGCAGATGTCCATTAGACAGAAAACAAGCGCAGTATGCTGAACAATAAATGTGCACGCAGCTCCAATTAATAACACATCAGATGACAAAGGCAAAGTTCAAATTGTGAGGAAATGTGATGCAGAGACAACGACTGCCTCGCTATCTTTGTGACAAGATATAATCAGCAGGAAAAAAAACTATTTACACGCTGCTAAACCTGGACATTTTCTTCACACTGAAGCAGGAGATCAAAACTTCACAATTTAACAAATAGCAATTAAATAGTTAGTAGTTGCATGCTGAAAAAGATTTTTCCACTCATTGATATGTTGCTTATTTTGGGCAAAGACTGCAGCTGCAGCTTCTGCTGATAAACACTAATGGTGGAGGTTTGTGACAAAGCAGCCACCAGGGGGCGCTGAGGCAAGCCCTTCACTCCCGTTTCCCACAGATCTGGGGATCCAGTGTATTCACTACTGAATATGTTTCAACCAGAGGATGCAGAACAGAAACTGACAGCCATCATCTCTTGTTGTTGTTTTTTTCCCCATAGAATTATCATCTTAAAACTGAGAGGTAATTTTAATGCCATTCTGCTCTGGAAATTAAATGTAATAATTCTATTGAAAAAAACAACAACAAGAAAATAGCTTAAGCCTGCATTTATTTAGGTGAGAGAGTAATAAATGACATTTAGTCTGGTTCGTTAGCATGAGGATGGACACACTGAGCTTGGCAATACACTGGTTAGACACCAGTTTAACCAGTGTTAAACGGTGTTAAGCCTTTAACAGACCCGTGACTCTCCTCTGCTCTCTCACTTAACAGTAAGCAAAAGTTTGAAAGCAGGTGTTACTTGGTACAGATTTTGACAGCAGGCTTGAACAGTTCCGTTGCTGGTAAAGACTGCGCTCAGATCGAATCCTTATGTCTGACATTTTTACAGCGTGGTGCCTGAGAAATGACAAGGTGAACTCTGTGCTGCTGGGGGCCTCCAGACCTGCTCAGCTAGTGGAGAACATCAGCGCCATACAGGTCAGCGATCACACAGGAAGCAGATGTAATAAGCGCAAACATGCAACCGAGCAAAACAAAACCAATAGAGTGAATCTTTTTGATACTTTGTTGCTCAGGTGTCTGTTGGGGTTTTCCTCTTATTTCTGGTGATTTTACATATTCACAGTGACACTGCAAATACAAACAAAAAAAGGTCTGATTTAAATAAATAAGAAAACACATTACAGTTTGACTTTAAATTGGCAAGAATTTTTATCATTTGTGATAGGACACTAACTGGAACTTTAAGAAAAACCTTGTCTTTGTCTCCTTTGTTTTTACAGGTTCTTCCGAAGATAACAATGTCCATTGCATCTGAGATTGATGGCATCTTGAAAAACAAGCCCCACTGTAAAAAGGGTTTCAGATTTTCAAAGGAGCACTGACAGGCGGCTGCAGACGCAGTTACTTGGCAGAATTTTGATCCTTGTGTAATTCCTGCACATTTCACTGTTTTAAAAAAACAACAAGCAACCGAAAACAAATAAACACATTTAGACGACACTACTTCTCAAATATACTGTGATAAATTAACTGCTGCCATGAAAACTGAGAGAAAAGGTCAAAAGACCAGAATTTGACACCAGCTTGTGTAAAAAGAAATAAAAAGAAGAAATATGGACTGACTCTTGAACAGAGAGGGATTGTTTCTCTGGTGTTGTAATGGGTCCAAACGATCTAAAGCACTTGGTTAAGTGATTTGTCAAAGCTGTGTAAGACATTGCCTAATTCAGTTAATGATTTTTCTTCTATTGCAAAGTTAGTTTTTTTTGCATAACGTAAACCTCCTTAGGTGGCGGTGCAGCGCCACACGGAGTCGTTCACCAGGCCGGACGTGTTCTTACAGAGCAAAAATGCAAGTAGAGAAAATTCACTCTGTGGAGAAAATGTCTTGTTTCCCTGGCAGATTATTTCACGTACGACCTGTTTCATCAATATTAAGGAATTAGTTACTTGAAACCAATTTCTTTCTTGCTGAAAATTACTTGAATTTTTGTCTTATTTCAAGTGTTCTGCAAAATTCTCACTAGAAATTAGATTTAAAAATATTGGTACGTTTTTGTGGGGTTTTTTTCAGTGCAAGCTTTATAATATCTTGGAGTGGCATTAAAAATTAAAAACTAAGCATAGTTTGAAGAAATACATTAGGCAGTAGAATCAAGAAGTCGCACATATCTAAAGCATAAAGTTCATTCCAAAAATACAGTAACTTTTATTTTCCTGATGTTCGTTCTACAGATTCCAGTAACGTCACTGACCTATTCACACAAATATTCATAGAGAACTACTGAAGAGGGAAACCTGCACATCACATGCAAGGTTGGTAGTTCTGATGTGCGTACTCAGAACATCACACTATTCGCACTTAGGCCAGAAAGTGAAACTCATATATTCCATGGATTCATTCACACAGAGTGAAGTATTTAAAGCATTTATGTCTTGTAATTTTGATGACTATGGCATGTAGACAATAAAAACCTACAATTTGGTGTCTCAGAAAATTTTGTGAAAAATTAAGAATTGGAAACTCCTGTAATATCTCTAATCAGCTAATTGTCATGAATTGTGGTTGTGAGGTCGATGCAGTGGACCAGGTCGAAGTGAGAGAAACGATGATTTAATGATCAGTAGCAGAGGCAAGGCGCTCAAACTCTGGTAGCAACTGGCATAAAGGAAAAGACGTGACACAACAGAGCAGACAAGTACCCAAGAAGGAAACACAGACACAGGTGGGATCAATCAAGAGGCAAAGTGGAATCCATTTTGTCAAACTGCGCACCTTATAAAAAATTTTTTTTCTTCTAAAATGTAGTATTTTTTTTCTTCACCAAATGCCAGTGGTTTGAAGAGCACACAGCTCTCTGCGATGAGTTGCTAAACAAAGACAACTCTCTCTCATATCACACCTGGACATTTATATATATATATATATATATATATATATATATATATATATATATATATATATATATATATATATATATATATATATATATATATATGAAGGGCGGACAATCCTAATCCAGAAGGATCCATCAAAGGGTCCAGTCCCACCCAACTACCGACCAATAACCTGCCTCTCCACAACCTGGAAGCTCATGTCAGGCATCATAGCGGCCAAGATAAGCAAACACATGGATAAACACATGAGCACGGCACAGAAGGGTATCGGTGTAAATACCAGAGGAGCCAAACACCAACTCCTCGTAGACCGCACAGTTGCCCGAGACTGCAAAACCCGACACACCAACCTGTGCATGGCTTGGATCGATTACAAGAAAGCCTATGACTCAATGCCGCATACTTGGATCATTGAATGCCTAGAGATGTATAACATCAACAGGATTCTGAGAGCCTTCATTGCAAACTCGATGAGGCTGTGGAAAACCACCCTTGAAGCCAACTGCAAACCACTTGCACAAGTGTCCATCAAATGTGGCATATACCAAGGAGATGCCCTGTCCCCGCTACTGTTCTGCATAGGCCTGAACCCCCTCAGCCAAATTATCAACAAGACTGGCTATGGATACCGACTCAAAAATGGGGCCAACATCAGTCACCTCCTCTACATGGATGACATCAAGCTGTATGCCAAGAGTGAGCGAGACATCGACTCACTGATCCACACCACCAGGATCTACAGCACTGACATTGGAATGTCATTCGGACTAGAGAAGTGTGGTCGGCTGATCACAAAGAGGGGGAAGGTGATCCACACAGAAGGAGTCTCACTCCCACAAGGAACAATAGCAGACATAGAGGACAGTTACAAGTACCTAGGTATACCACAAGCAAATGGCAACCTCGATGAGGCCACAAGGAAAGGACCCACAGCTAAATACCTCCAACGAATAAGGCAAGTCCTGAGAAGCCAGCTCAATGGCAAGAACAAAATCCGTGCGATAAACAGCTATGCCCTGCCAGTAATCAGATACCCTGCTGGAATAATCAGCTGGCCAAAGGAGGAGATGAAAGCCACAGATATTAAGACTAGAAAGCTACTAACCATGCATGGAGGGTTCCATCCCAAATCCAGCACCCTGAGACTGTACACGAGCCGCAAGGAAGGAGGCAGAGGACTAGTGAGTGTGAGAACCACTGTCCAGGACGAAACAACTAAGATCCATAAATACATCAGGGACAAAGCCTCAACAGACAATGTGCTCAGTGAATGTCTCAGACAACAGGGAACGGAGGTTGAGGTGCCAGAGATACCATCATGGGAGGACAAGCCCCTACATGGGATGTACCACCAGCAAATAACCCAAGTGGCTGATATCAGTAAATCCTACCAATGGCTGGAAAAAGCTGGACTCAAGGACAGCACAGAGGCCCTCATCCTGGCCGCCCAGGAACAGGCCCTAAACACCAGAGCAATAGAGGCCCAGATCTACCACACCAGACAAGACCCAAGGTGTAGGTTGTGCAAGGAGGCCCCTGAGACAGTCCAGCACATCACAGCAGGGTGCAAGATACTGGCAGGGAAAGCGTACATGGAGCGACATAACCAAGTGGCAGGCATAGTGTATAGAAACATCTGTGCAGAATATGGACTGGAAACCCCGAGATCAAAGTGGGAAACACCCCCAAAGGTGGTGGAGAACGCCAGAGCTAAGATCCTGTGGGACTTCCAGATCCAGACAGACAAAATGGTAATGGCGAACCAACCAGACATTGTCGTAGTGGATAAACATCAGAGGAAAGCCGTTGTGGTAGATGTAGCAATACCAAGTGATTGCAACATCAGGAAAAAGGAGCACGAGAAACTGGAGAAATACCAGGGCCTCAGGGAAGAACTGGAGAGGGCCTGGAAGGTGAAGACCACAGTGGTGCCTGTGGTCATCGGGGCCCTCGGGGCAGTAACCCCCAAACTGGAGCAGTGGCTACAACAGATCCCAGGAACAACATCAGACATCTCAGTCCAGAAATGTGCAGTCCTTGGCACAGCCAAGATACTGCGCAGAACCCTCAAGCTCCCAGGCCTCTGGTAGAGGACCCGAGCTCAGAGGATAAGAACCACCCGTGGTGGGTGAGAAGGGAATTTTTTTTTTTTTTATATATATATATATATGTGTGTGTGTGTATATATATATGTGTGTATATATATACACATATATACACACATACATATATATATATATATATATATATATATATATATATATATATATATATATATATATTATATATATATATATATATATATATATATATATATTCCTGTCTAAAGATTAAAGATTAGACAGGAAACCTGTCTAATCTTTTTATATAGGCTATATAATATCGCCATTATTTTAGACTGTGGCAGGAAGCCGGAGCACCCGGAAGAGAAACCTGCAAATTTCTTTTTGATATGTCATTCATGAAATTTAATTCCAAAACGTAATGACTGACATTTTGTATTTACATGTCAGAAATACATTTAATTATTTCTGAGCCTTTATTCTGAAGTAAAGGCTCTTGGGAAGAGAATTATGGGAGAGGAGATTCAAACCCAGGACTTTGTTGCTGCAAGGCAACAGTTGTCCCAACTGAGCCGCTGTGCAACCGTTTTGTTCACAAAATTAATGTTTTATTCACATCTAAGGAGAATTTAGAGGCCAATTACCCAAACAGACATGATTTTAGACTGTGGCAGGAAGCCGGAGCGCCCGGAGAGAAACCTGCAAACAGGAAACCTGTCTAATCTTTTTACCCATCAATCCCAGAAAATTTTTAGCACCTAATTCAGAAATTTCTAGCTCCTCTCAGCTTTAACGCTATTGAGAGGAGGGGCTGTAATGGCCCCCTAATTGAACTACCAACACCTGAGAAAGAAAGGAGGAAGAGCAGCACAAAGTAAGATTTGTTCATTTCAGATCCATCTTAGTTTGTGCTGCTTTTCCTCCTTTCTTTCTCATATATGTAAAGAAATCCTGTCCTCTTCATGTCTTCACTGCAGACAGCTGCTGCAGTGAAGACATGATCGTCCATTGCTTTTACTACTTGACGTCCATGGGGTATGCAAGTATAAAACTTGGTCTGGTCAGACCCACTGCAGATGACCGAGGACAAATGATATACCTCTGGTCCATGCTCTCCTGGTACTGTCAATGTCTGGTTGGGTTTAATTTTCTGAAACTGTGTTAGTCTGGCCGACTGCGGCAGGTGGAAGACCAACACATTGTTGTTGGTCAGGCAGTGCTTATAAGTCAGCCCTGCTCCACAGCCAGGACAAATTGTTTTGAGCCCCAAAGTCAACCATCTGCTAAAAAGTGCCTTGATGTTTTTCTCTGAACGAGGTGTTGGTAGTTCAATTAGGGGGCCGTTACTTAAAAGCTCTAAACAATCGGCCCGGCATGTGGAGCAGCTGCCCTCACTGTACAACTCCGTGTCGGTCCGTCCACCGAACGAGTCAAGCCAGACTAACACCAGATTTAACAAAGATCGAACATCCAATTCCCCTCCCTTTCCCAATTCCCTCTCTTTCAGCTCCTCCAGGACTGGAGCGATCTCTGCAGGAGAGACATGTTTGCCAGGGTTTCGAACTGTTGACAGAATTAATCCAGAGCAGGATGGAATGGGTGATGCCTCCAGGAACACCTTCTCCTGAGCGAGACATCGCTTTGTCTCGCTCAGGTTCAGGACAGACTGTAATGCTGCGTTCACCCAGCTGTTCCTTAAATAATTGGAGAACTTGCAGTAGTTGTTAGAAATGTTCTCTTTGCTGTTGTAGTGTGGAAAACCAGACATCTGTTGGTTTTCTGGCCAAACCCTTTGCTCCAAAGGATCAACGTCCCCCTCCGGGTCCGTTGATCCTTTCGGAGCGATACTTGCACTATCCCCAACGACTTTTCCCTCATCCTCAGAGAGAACTACCCCAGCCGGGGTAGAGCTCGCTGAGGATGAGAGGGCTACCCAGCCGGGGCAGCCTGGTCGTTGGGGACCTCCACGAACTCAGTGGCAGAAGAAACCTTCCCCGCCGGGTCGGTTTCTTCAGTATCCACGGTACTGCCATTCAACGGTGAATCTGTTGCAGTAAAATAATCAAACACTTTTTTCATGCCCGATGTTACGATATAGCCGAGTCCCCAGCCGAGTGGCAGAGCAAACGGTACCAGCGCATGAGAGAAATTAATCATTTCTAAGAAATATGACGTCAGGAATCAATGAGAGTTCTGGATCGCGAATGTTCAATGTCTTGAGATTCCAACGTTTAAAGGCTCAGAACATCTTTGATCTATTGTGATGTATTTGATGTCATCTATGACATCATCAATGAACTCACTGTAGTTTTTGTTTAAAACTTATTTAGCATGAAGAGATTAACAACAGATTTATATTTGACTGAACTGTTGCATTCGTATTTATACATAATAAATTCATTTTGTAAGCAATATTTCTACACTTGAATTACTCGCCTGATCTTTACTTTGTTTGACACAGTGCAGTGTGAAAATGAACGGCTGAAAATGTAATAAATGTTGCATTTTTGGCCCAAGTCAAACCGAGTTGTAACACTAAGGTTAGCTAGTTTTACTGCTATATGCTATGTAAAATGGCTGCTGGAAGAGACAACTGTTTTGTTGTTGAATTACAATTTAGAAGCCACCAGCTGCGTTCTTGTTCTCTGTGCAGGAGGCTCCACGTCTTCTGCTTTTGGGTCTGACTCAGGGTCAAAGATGGACGCTTGTGAACTGTGCACCTGGTGGCAGCCATTTTGTCTAACTGCACACCTAGTGGCAGCCATTTTGTCAAATTGCGCACCTGGTGGCAGCCATTTTGTCTAACTGCGCACCTGGTGGCAGCCATTTTGTCTAACTGCGCACCTGGTGGCAGCCATTTTGTCTAACTGCGCACCTGGTGGCAGCCATTTTGTCTAACTGCGCACCTGGTGGCAGCCATTTTGTCGAACTGCAGGACAACGCGGAGACTCAACCGAACACAGAAACCTGAATGAATACACAGAAAAACCAAATCCTCACATTAATTAACTCAAAATGTCTGCAATGGGCTCTTGAGCTTCGAGATTAACTCTTAGTCTGGGCAGATCTGAATCCAAGCATATTTATTAGTGATGGGTAAATGAGGCGTCATGAAGCGTTTGGACGCGTCGCAAAACTGTGTCGATACTGTGTCACTGAATACTGAATAAAAGTAAAAACCTTACAATTTGCTTTTGTAATGATTTGTATTAAAACTTTTTACATGGATTCCAAGATGTTCATTGTATCTCAGTCATGATTTGGCTGAGTATGTCGACGTCTGCAGTTATAGTGATGGACTGCATGATGTGTTAACTGAACAAAATGCTTTCCACACTGGTCACAGCTGTATGGCCTCTCTCCAGTGTGGATGCGTTGATGGACTTTGCTCACACAGTCAATTTCTCTCCTGTTTCTGCTGTATTTCTGTGGGACCAAATCAGGAGAGACATTGAAGGAAATATAGTAAAATATTGCATCATAATTATGCAAGACAGAATGAAAGATTTTCCATAAGTTCTTGTGGAGGGAAACAAAGCTCTTTCATTACGTATATTCTGTTTTTGCATTGATAGCCAAAAGAAAACATCCAGTCTTGTTTGGTTGGTGGTAATCTAGATTCCAGATTTAGTAACTTTAAACATATTTTACAAGATCCAATGATGTGCAGATTTACAACAATCACAGACAGACAGACGAAATAAATCAAAGTGCAGATGTTCATTAGACAGAAACAAGCGCAGTATGCTGAACAATAAATGTGCACGCAGCTCCAATTAATAACACATCAGATGACAAAGGCAAAGTTCAAATCGTGAGGAAATGTGATGCAGAGACAACGACTGCCTCGCTATCTTTGTGACAAGATATAATCAGCAGGAAAAACTATTTACACGCTGCTAAACCTGGACATTTTCTTCACACTGAAGCAGGAGATCAAAACTTCACAATTTAACAAATAGCAATTAAATAGTTAGTAGTTGCATGCTGAAAAAGATTTTTCCACTCATTGATATGTTGCTTATTTTGGGCAAAGACTGCAGCTGCAGCTTCTGCTGATAAACACTAATGGTGGAGGTTTGTGACACAGCAGCCACTAGGGGGCGCTGAGGCAAGCCCTTCACTCCCGTTTCCCACAGATCTGGGGATCCAGTGTATTCACTACTGAATATGTTTCAACCAGAGGATGCAGAACAGAAACTGACAGCCATCATCTCTTGTTGTTGTTTTTTCCCCCATAGAATTATCACCTTAAAACTGAGAGGTAATTTTAATGCCATTCTGCTCTGGAAATTAAATGTAACAATTCCATTGAAAACAACAACAACAACAAGAAAATAGCTTAAGCCTGCATTTATTTAGGTGAGAGAGTAATAAATGACATTTAGTCTGGTTCGTTAGCATGAGGATGGACACACTGAGCTTGGCAATACACTGGTTAGACACCAGTTTAACCAGTGTTAAACACCACTGTATTTCCAAGGTCTGGATTGGGTTATCAAAAACATACCTGGTGTGTTGCTTTGACAACACCCAGCATCCTCTTCATGACACAGAGTATCTTCAGTCAGAGGCTTCTTCAAATCAACTGTCTTTCCCATTTCCGATGGACATTGAACGAGGCACAAGTTCTCCATGTTGTTACAGCCGCAGCTCTTTTTCAGACAGGAGAGCTTTGTTAGCTGTAATTCGTAGTTCCGCCTGACTCGCCGGTCTTCCACGGGGCTTATTTAGTGTAACGCGCAGCTGGCGTGCTACACTAAATTTATCCGGCTACAAACAGTTCCTGCAGCTGCTTCAGCTGCCCATACATGCGCTCCTAGCGGAGAGGCGTCTGCCTGAGTCTGTGCCCGCCTGGATCCATCTATTTTGGAGACGTTCCTTGAATCGTGAAGTGTCGGAGTAGGTGAGAAGCATGCTGTGGCTGTTAGCAGAATTTATAAATGCTACGGATTAATCCCGCAGAACACTGAAGGCGCCATAAAGTCATTTGGCTCAGGTGTGATGGGTTGCTGGGCCCAACAGAGCAGCTTTTGAGGACCTCGTCCTTCCCTTTAGCTCAGATTACATGAGAACCGTGTGATCTGGAAACATGCAGTCAGTAAAGTGACAGGAAATCCGCTTTTAGTTCGCAGTGGATCAGGTTTTATAGGTTTCTGTTTGTGCATTTCAGCAGATGACAGGGAGCAGGGCTCTAGAGTCAGCACGTTGGGTGACGCTTGCTTTACTTTTTGTCAGTATTGTCATGAATTGTCAGCAGTCATAAGATGCTCCAAACCTCACCCTTTTTCATGCTTACTTGTGTATTTTCAGCTTATTTGGGAGGAAATTTGAAAAAAATTAGAAAAATTAATATATTGATACTTTTAAAAATGCTGACTTATTCAATACCTAAATGAGCATAAACTCCATAAATACATAATTTTTGGGCTGGGTTGAAAGAATCGGAATGAAGACAAAAATACAACTTTGTTTTTTTTCTCAGTAAAATCACAAAAACTCTGATTTATTTTTTCCAGCCTCGTTTCTCACTATGGTGAACCAGGTGCAGCAAGTGGACGGCAGCTGGCAGTCATGTCGAGGCGACTCCAGCGGCAACAGCAGCGGCGAGAGCTCCAAGGAGAGCTCCCGCTGCTCCACCCCGCTGCTGGACGCAGACCGCTCTGATCGGCTGCGGGAAAAGATGAGGAAGAGGATGGACTCCGGAGATCAGTGGTTCTCCCTGGAGTTCTTCCCTCCACGCACGGCCAGCGGTGCTGTCAACTTGATCTCCAGGTACAGAAACCAGCCGACGCCTCTCCAGGCTTTCTGAGGGGCTTTCCGACCTTCGACCTCAGGCACACCACGATAGAATATTCTGCTGAAAAGTTATGTGTAGGTGTTTGGGAAGAACAAAATTGCATCCAGCTGACATTAAAATATCTGAATTTCTTGTCATACTGAAGTATTAAGATTTCCTTAAAAGCTACAAACATGGCTCACGGCCAACACACCATACCTCCCCTCTCCACTTCAACACTTCAAAATATTCCAGTAAAATCTCAGATGGAAGCATTTCAGAACTTTTCTTCAAAGTTTATTTCTGATGCGACAGGTTTGACCGTATGGGCTCTGGAGGACCGCTCTTCATTGACATCACCTGGCACCCAGCAGGAGACCCCGGCTCAGACAAGGAGACCTCCTCCATGATGATTGCCAGCACAGCGGTGAACTACTGTGGCCTGGAGAGCGTCCTTCACCTGACCTGCTGCAACCAAACCAAGGAGAAGATCACCGGCTACCTGGCAAAGGCAAAGCACCTGGGCCTGAAGAACATCATGGCGCTGAGGGGAGGTACAGCGGGAGACATGAAGGGCTCAGGAAAGGTGTGACCTGGGAGGTTTTCCTTGGATGTGTGTTTTATCTCCACACCTCAGGAGATAAGAGCTGTGGGTTGAGATTCCTGGAAAACAAAGAGCAACACTTGATTTAGACTTCTGAGAAGTGACGTGTCTGTACAAGCGTTGTGCTGCTGTGAACGGCTCCACCTGGAGCCACACTGCAGCGTTTCCTCAAGCATTCACAGGGTTCTCGTCTCCCACCTCCTGTTCTCCTGCTATCTGACAGAGTCTCTGCTGGGCAGGTTTTCAGCAGTATTTCTCATACTTAAAAAGTGTGCTGTGAACATCGAGCCTAGATTTGGAGTGGCAAAAACCGACAAGACTTTTTACAAACGGGTGTCTTACTGCTCAGTGTTCAGTGGAAAGAGAACTTTGGCTTGGCTTTATCTGGTATTTTTATCAGAAGTACAAGATGGGAAATATGACAAAAACAATTTATTTACAGAAAAATAATGATGAGAGTTTTTTTTATAATTTCCCTTCATAAAAGTATAGCTCTTAATTTAAAACCATAACGTATAACTTGGGTCAAACAATATTTCAAACCAACTTTTAATGATCTTAGACCGGGCTCTTCAGTTTTTACGATTTATTTCTGCCTAGATGGATGAAAATTGTTTAGTTATATTATTGATTCAGACGGCTACTGATGAGAGGAGTGTCATTGTTAACATTTTATTACTATTTTTAGGCATTTTATGCCATATTTTCTTCTATGGAATGTGTTGATATTTGTAAAATGTAAAAAAAAAAATCAAAGTTCTTTATCGGATCTAATTATTTTGAAGAACATCTCCAAAAAGATGTTTCCCTGCTGCATGAATCTCTTGGTACCGTTTAGTTTATTATCTGCTGCAACTTGGGTGAAAGTGCAGTCATTAAATAATGTTTTATTTTCAACTAACTATATTGACACCGTACTACTGAAAAAAACCATTTCATACCATCTGTAAAGTCAACTGCTGAACTAACACCTGTAGTCCTCATTTTGCCAGATCGCCCAACATGGCCGACATTAAACAAAGCTCTGGTTCTCTTCAGATCCAGTGGGAGATGACTGGGAGGACGAGGAAGGAGGCTTCAACTTTGCCGTCGACCTCGTCAAACACATTCGATCAGAGTTTGACGAATACTTTGACATTTGTGTTGCTGGTAAGTTTTCACAGTAGAGAGAGTTTATGTGCACAGGGTGTTTCTAAATGGAACATTTATCTGTCAGAACAACCAGTTCAGCAGGACTGTCCTACTGAACTGCTGCAGGGTTCAGAGCTGTACTTCCAGTCGTTTTAATTAAAGGACTTTGCGCAGGCTACCCAACAGGCCACCCGGAGGCAGAAAGCTACGAGCAGGATCTGCAGCACCTGAAGGAGAAAGTGGATGCTGGTGCAGACTTTGTCATCACGCAGCTGTTCTTCCGGGCTGACACCTTCCTGAAGTTCCTGGACGACTGCAGGGCGGTCGGGATCACATGTCCCATCCTTCCTGGAATCTTTCCCATCCAGGTACTAAAGACTTCTTCCAGGAAGCTGTAAATCATCACCATGAACCCATTGACCTATTTTTTTTCTATGAGGCAACTTTTTTCAGCTGCCGCACGTTTCACTTCCAAAGTGAAGTCACCTTTCATTAAGTTAAACGGTGCATGAAAATCTTTGGCTGTTGTGCATAAGAAGCAGTGAAGAAAGCTTCCTTTTTGACTTTTGCAACCAAAGTTATAAAAGTCTAAACATATGTGATTATGGACCTATTGAGGCTCAGTGCATAGTGGCTGTTTCATATGTTAAACTGTCGTAAAAGAAAGGTGGTTGGTTGTCTAGAAATTAGAAAAGGAGCGGTAGGAAAGAGAGAAAAGAGAAAAACAAATTGTGTGTATTTTTCAGGGATACCAGTCGTTACGTCAGCTCGTCAAACTGTCCAAGCTTAAAGTACCAGAGGAGATTACTAAAATCATAGAACCCATCAAAGACAATGATGCTGCTATCCGGAACTATGGGATCCATCAGGCGGTGGACATGTGTCGTGTCCTGCTGGACAGCGGAAAGGTACCAGGCCTCCACTTCTACACTCTGAACCGAGAAGTTGCCACCCTGGAGGTCCTCCGGCAGCTGGGCCTGTGGGTAGAAGACCCCAGGTCAGTCTAAATCTACTGGCAACGGAGTGAAAGATGAAACCATAGCCCTAACTCTGGGTCCTGAACCTGTATCGTTTTTCTTTCTACACGCTCTTATCCTGTTTGGCAAAATGTTATTCACTAGCTGTTACCTGTGAAGCACTTAGAAAATCAATTGAGGACTTTTTGGCCCTCACCAGCAGCCGTTTGGAGGGCTGCCGGTCTGTCTCCCTACATACACTGGTGTGTGTGTGTGTGTGTGTGTGTGTGTGTGTGTGTGTGTGTGTGTGTGTGTGTGTGTGTGTGTGTGTGTGTGTGTGTGTGTGTGTGTGGGGGTGTGTGTGGGGGTGTGTGTGTGTGTGTGTGTGCCATCTACAAAATTAAGAACTTACTGTTGACTAGATGCTGTGGAACCGATAAGAAAAGGTTTATAAGATGTTAATCTTTAGACTTGGCTCCGAATTTGTTGGCAAGAGTTCCAGCTTGACTTGGAAAAATGACATGTGAACGTCTCTGCTGAGTTTTCATACTGGGTTCATTCACCTTAGTAGACAATGAACATTTTTGTTGTTTTTGCCAGACGCCCTCTTCCCTGGGCTGTTAGTGCAAATCCCAAACGGAAGGTGGAGGATGTCCGACCAATTTTCTGGGCCTCCAGACCAAAGAGCTACATCTACAGGACTCAGGACTGGGATGAGTTCCCCAACGGCAGATGGTAATAGAACATAGATTCAGTACCTAATTCTTTGATTTTCTAAGTAAATGTTTCAGTTTTAGAAGCAGCTTACAGCAGAAGAGGACAAAGTGAAGCTGTACTTTGGTTACTGACCGACTGTTCTGCTGTTGTCTTTAGGGGAAACTCTTCGTCTCCTGCTTTTGGGGAATTAAATGACTACTACCTGTTCTACTTAAAAAGTAAATCCTCTAAGGAAGCACTTCTACAGATGTGGGGGGAGGAACTGAAGAACGAACAAAGCGTCTTCGAAGTCTTCACATGCTACATCACAGCACAACCAAACAAAAACGGACAGAAGGTAATCAAGTCTGCCTGCAGACGCTAATGATCTTCTGTTTAACCACATATCAGTGAAGTCATAAAAAAAATGAAAGTAAATTTAATTTCAAAAAATGCAGAAATGGTATGAAGATGTATTGATAGTCTTAATGAAATCTGTAGATTTATGATGAACAGTAGAAACAGAAATTCCTCCTGGTGAAGTATTTTGGCAGATCCCATTCTGTACTGTTGGCAGGGCCGGCTCAAGGCATAAGCAAACCAAGCAGCAGCTTAGGGCCACTAGGACGTCCCGTAAGTGGAACAGATATTTTTTTAAGTAATGATTTATACGAGATCATATTAACAAAAACACACTTGCATTATAAATTTTTGATGTTTTTTTTTGTGCTTTTTTTACAATGATGTACTTAATCATGTCAACATGATCATGTATGTTTGTATAAAAACAAGAACAATGCTTAGCCTGACAGGAGGCAACTAAAGCCTGGTGGCTTGCAATGCACTGGGGGAAACCCGATGTCCTATGTGATGCATAAAGGACATTATGTAAAAAGCATCAGAAAATGCAATAAGTCTATAGCAGGTATCAACAGTCAGATGAGTAGATCATTAGATCAAATGAGTAGATCACTGGATCTACTCATCTGACTGTTGACTGCAGAAATAGATGGTCTTAAAACCAAATTTCACTTAGGGCCCCACGGAGGCCTGGGCCAGCCTTAGCTTCCCAAAAACTCCTTCCTGAGCTGATCTGTGCAAGCAAAAATAAAATGAATCCACACAGCTATGTCACTGTGACGTTTTCCTTTTCCAGCTCCCATTGCTCTGGTAACTTGTAATGAAGTGGGCGGAGCTCCACTTGGGTTGCCAGGTGAGGGGCGGGGCATGGTTTGGGTTTGGTGTCTGCAAAACAGCATTGCAGACACCAGCAGAACATTTATGTAGCACTTATTTCCCTCCAAAAGGCAGCAGTTTTCTTCTTTTTCTTTTGCTGTTGGACTGTCTTAGAAGCAGGACACGCCTGAATGACGGAACCGAAGCTTCCAAAAAGTGGAAGTTACAATGAAGTTACAACTTGTAATGGACCTTTCAAGCCTTTCAAACCATATCGGCCCTTGAGCGACCGTAGCTCCCTTCATTTTGACATTACAATTTGAGTGACTGAATTGATTAATCATTGATTAATGAGTAAAATGATAGGTGTTCCCCTGTAAGATTGATGAATGGGACTCCTAAAGCATCTTACAGTTTGCCAAAGCCTTCACGTCTCTCTCTCCATGCCTAGGTGTTGTGCTTACCCTGGAACGACGAGCCTTTGGCTCCAGAGACCAACTTTTTGAAAGACGAGCTTGAGAAGGTTAACGGACGTGGCGTCCTCACCATCAACTCCCAGCCCAACATCAATGGCAAACCGTCTGCAGACCCTGTGGTAGGCTGGGGACCTCCAGGAGGATATGTCTTCCAGAAGGTGCTGGCTCTTTGTTTGGTCATTCAATAAAGTTTCTTTCTATTCTATTCTCAACAAACACGTTTCACTCTGAAACGTCGCCTCAGCTCTCCGCTCTTCCATCCAATAGGCCTACCTGGAGTTTTTCACCTCCAGCGAAAATGTCACAGCCCTCCTGAAGGTCCTGAAGAAGTATGAGCCTCGTGTCAACTATCACATTGTTAACGTGCACGTAAGTCTGAAACGAGAGTGCCGCTAGTCACTGTGTGAGTGCAGGTTGCATATGGGCCATATCGGATGCTTTGTGTGCAGGGACATAACATGACCAACGCACACGAAATGCAGCCTAATGCAGTGACGTGGGGCATCTTCCCAGGCAGAGAGATTGTCCAGCCCACTGTAGTGGACCCAGTCAGCTTCATGTACTGGAAGGTCTGTAGCTTCAGGAGCTTTTGGTGAAGTTATCAACCGGGTCATTTCACATGTGGACTGAGGGCACATAGAAGTTTGTCAGGAAGTGTATCTGTTTGAATAAATCAAAATCATTTAACGCAGACGTACCAGGAAGGTTACGAGGTCTAAACATGTTTGACTGAAAAATATTTAGCATGGATTTTCAATTTTCACCAGTCATCACAACTTTTCTGCAAATCTGACCAACCACCAACCATCCTTATTTTCCCACCAAAAACTGCAACTTTGCTGAATTTTGACCAATCACTTCTAATTTAACTTCCCATTTTGCAAAGTCTCTTAAGAGCCAAATGAAACCATGTGTGATCCAAAACAATATCATTTACCTTGTTTGTTTTTCCTTTTTGTTACAAAAACCATTTTGAGATGTTCAATTGGATTTGCTTCTTCTGTGTAAACAGTTCACGTTACACAAAACTGAAATCCATCTTTTGCACTTTGACAAAAGTGAAAAAGACAAATAGATTTCATTTCTATTTAGGGATACATTTCAAGACACTTGAACATGTTTGCACTTTAAATGATAATTATGTTTAAATTCCACCTTTTGGGAAGTTTATGTGAATCAATTAAAACTAATTAGACCATGTTGTGGTAAAAATAAAGATAAAAAAATTTAACAAGATCAACTGCAACTTTTTGAAACGTGGTGCGGTAAAATCAGTAAATGTAGGTTCCACGGATCACAAAAAAATTCTAAATTATCCCATGAATGGTAAAGAATCAAAATTAAACATTTTCTTGCTTGATCAAATGAAATAAAAAACAACAATATTGTATTATAAATTGGTTAAAAGCAATTTTTCAACTGTTTGCAGTATAATAAAAAAAAAAAGTTTTAATTAAAGGCAATGGAGATATATTTTCCGGTCCTCTGAAAATGCATTGGGCAATTTTTTTTCTTCATTCATATTTTTATAGGACATCATCAAACTAATCAGGCATTTTGTATTTGTCTAGCTTATAAAAATTTTGATGCCATTCACACTTAAAAAATAGTCTTATTTCAGAAATAAATGTCTCCCTTTCCCCCACATGCATTGAATAAATTGACTAAACGGTCTCATTGCGGTGCTGAAAAAGCTTCAGAACGTCTAAACATGGCAGACTTTTTGTAGAAAGTGTTGGAATCGTCTTTTTATTGCTGTTTCAGGACGAGGCGTTTGCTTTGTGGATCGAACAGTGGGCCAAACTCTACGAAGACGAGTCGCCGTCACGAATGATCATCAAGTACATCCACGATAACTACTTCCTGGTCAATCTGGTGGACAACGACTTCCCTCTGGACAGCTGTCTGTGGCAGGTCATCGATGACATGTTCGAGTTGCTGGATGCAACGCCGGAGCCACTCAGTGATGAGGCGGGCTCACAGTAAATGACTTGTTGAGGAAAGAGACAATTCAGTGAATTATTTCATGTTCTACTTTTATGTTTACCAATAAGAGTGCCTTGGTAAAATACTGATATAAACAACAAAGCTTTTGTAGCTGGTGGTTAGTGGAAGGGAAAACGGTGCTAACAAAGAAACTGAACTGTTTCAACTTCATAAAAAAATGTAGCACAGTTTATATTTCACCACAGATGTGAAATAGAAAGTTCATAAAATTAATAAGAAACAAATGCAACTTAGTGGCCCCCTCCTGGAGGGCATCGCTGTTGAGGAGAAGCAAATGACGAAGTAAATAAAAAAATTTATAACGTAAAAATAAGTGTCGGAATAAAAACAAGACTGAAGAATATGGAAGCCCGTTTCCATTGAAGCTCGTTATTTTTATTTTTTTTTACGGAAACGGGCTTCCATAGAAGAACACACACTGAAGTCTTGTTAAATGAATTTTCATTTGTAGATACATTTTAACAGCTTGTATTTTCTTTATATTTTTCTGAAACATTTGTATTTTTTGTCATTTCACTTACAATCCATTTAAATAGGATCATCTCGAGGTTCAATCTGTATCCGGTTTCTACATGATAAATGTAACATATTCAAATGAATCCAACTCAAAGAGGAGGTACAGTCAGTCCTGCAGATTGGATTGAGCTTTGAACAACCTTTATTTTTCTTATATAACCATTTTGTTGGTGGTTACTGATGGTTAGCTGTCTGCCACTAGTGGATACTTTAAGTAGGACAGAATCATTGTAGTTTGCTTGAACTTACCGCTTCTTTAGCCAGCTGTTATACCATAATCGGCTGAGGTTCCTCCTGTATTGAGCAGTTTCCCTGAGAGATCAGAGGTCATATTTCTCTGTACACAAGCTGACAACAGTGTCATAAATATTACTAATTACTCATTTGTTCCAATTAGCAATATCGCTTTTCAAGAAAATTAATCATTGGTTATCATGTTACTTGAGACTTTACACATTTCATTTTCTAACCACAGGTAGCAATAGATAGTCTGGGAAAAGCTGTTCAGTTTGTGAAAGTCACGTTTTTTTTTTTTTTGAAACATTGAACTGAATAAAGATCTTTTTAACTTATGGATCTGTCTCCATGTCTTTTGTTAAAACTTTATCAGAAATACCAGATAACATTTCAGACAGAAAAACTACTTTGACACAACTTTGTTTGATGCACACCTGTTCAGTATTGCCTCCCAGATTTCGTAGCGTCTCCTGTGTGAAAAGACTTAATTTTTTTTATTTGCTCTGCCTATGTAATCAGTAGAAGTCTGTGCATCAATCAGATTTATGTTGTAATATTGATGGTCTGTTGGAGGTTTTAAGTCATCACCCATGACATGACTGATGGTCCAAAGTCCAGGTCATGACACTGAATGGTATGGTGGGGATTTTCCACTCAGTCACTTACTTGGTCGTTAGCTGGTCAGGCCAAATATGTCCACACAGATGAATGGCGTGAGGGGGTGGAAATAAGTCAAACATCGTGTGAGCTGGACGCCCTCAATTTGACCTGAGTCCCTGAGTTAATGGATCGACTTTTTTTTATTTTGATTTAGAACGACTCTCAAAAGAACGTGCACACTTTAGACTTTAGCATCAGCTTAGTTTAACCCCTAAGAAGAAAACCCTAAACAGACTGCCATTCTTCACTGAAAAAAAAAAAAAGAAATATCCATGGCACAACAGGAATAACTTTAAGCAGCTGATTTCTATGTGATTTTAGTTGGTCGCATCATTGTGGAGGACTTTTGGAGCAGCTGCATCCAAACCATATATCACCAAGTGCAGAACAAAGCGTCAGAGGCAAAGTAAGATGCCAATGGACTCTAGAGCAGGGGAGGCTCATTCTCTGGAGTGATGAATCACGCTTCTCCTTTTGACAATCTGAAGAGTCTGGGTTTGGTGATTGCCAAGAGAACTGGTCTTGTCTGCCTGCTTTGTGCCAAATGTAGAGTTTGGTGGAGAGGGGATTATGGTGTGGGGCTGTTTTTCAGGAGCTGGGTTTGGCCCCTTAGTTCCAGTGAAAATATCTGAATGTTTCAGCATACCATGATATTTCAGACAATTCCATGTTGCCAACTTAATGGAAGAGTTTGGAGCTGGGCATTTTCCTCTTTCAACATGACTGCACCAGGGCAGAAAGCAAGGGTCATAAAGGCATGGATGGCAGAGTCTGGCCTGCACAGAGTCCTGATCCAAAGCCTACAGACCACCTTTGGGATGAATTAAAGTGGAGACTGAGAGCCAAGCTTATCGTCCAACATCAGTAAGTGACCTCACAAATGCAGTTCTGGAAGAATGGTCACAAATCTCCATAAACACATTTCTAGACCTTGTGGACGGCCTTCACAGAAGAGTTGAAGCTGTTCCAGCTGCAAAGGGAGAACCAACGTCATACTGAACCCCATAGATTAGGAATGAGTCTGTCCAGCCCTGTGATGGACTGGAGACCTGTCCAGGGTGAACCCTGACTCTCACCTGTTGACAGCTGGACATAGGCACCAGCACTCCTGCTGACACCAGTGTGATAAATAATATTGGATGATGGATGAGGAATGGGATGTCACTTAAGCTCATATGTGAGTTAAAGCAGGTGAGCGAATACTTTTGTCAATATGGTGTATGTGGAGATGAGCTGCTGCTCAGGGTGTCTTCTGCAGAGAGCTAACAGCACCACCTGGTGGTCGCTCGATGTCAGTACTTGAACATGAAACGTCACCAATCTGTTCCACAGACAGTACAACAAAAAGTTACTTTTGTCTACAAAAGATAAATTCAAAGTAATATATAAAGAAAACTACATTCAGGCCCTCTGTTTAATATACCAATCACATTAAACTGTATGACATTAATTTAAATGTTTTGCGATGCCTTAATAAATGAATAGAAACAAAATTTTCAGAGGTTTTCTTTATTTTCTGGTACACACTGAGACATTTTAAACTAATAAAATGCAACTATTAGACACAATATAAAGTTGATTTAAGTTCTGAGTACCAAAACATTGACTTATGACTACCTGTGATGATAAAAACAGAAGTACAGTATGCATAGAAAAGGTCTTGCACTGCAGGAGACAGTAAAATGTTAAAATTAATGAAGCACACACACATTTCACACACTTGACCTATCAGACATTGTATCTTATTACACACATTATAACACGGAAACAGCTGGTTAAAGTAGAAGACAATACAAAAATGACAAATTCAATAATTAACTCTTGTAAATGCAGTAAATGAAGATGGAGCAAAAACAAACTTGAGACTGATGCAAGAAGTCAGCCATTGCAAACTGCAAATTCATTTTTACTCTCTCTGATTTACCAAAAGTCTTAGCTGTTGGAGAGTCTGCATTACTTTCACTTTTATGGCAGATTCATAAAATAATAATAATAAAAAAATTATTTGTGCTACAGACTAAGGCCACAATGACAATATAAATCTATAAATACCAATGTGAATATTAAACCGGCAGTGTTACATCGAGCCGTGAAACATGAGGGTGACTTGTTGCAGGTACTTGCTGCCAGCGTCTACAGGTCAGGGTCATCCCCCTTGAGCGTGTTGAATTCTTCTGGAGCTGCATACTTTTCAGCCCCCTGACCAGAGGAGTGACGGAAACCTGCTGCGATCTCGTCGAAGGTGCGGCCCTTTGTCTCAGGTACTTTGAAGTAAGTGAAGACGAAAAAGCCAAGCAGCAGAACGGTGAAGATGATGAAGACATAAGGACCGAGGAGTAGCTGCGATGACAAGAGTTTAATTTGTCATCCCTGAGGCGATGTAAATGGTGCATGCAACATTACAGCTTGTTAAGTAGTATTAAGTATGTATTTAGTTTCAATTTAATTCATTATACTCTTATTGATGAGGCAAAAAATAAATAAATCATCAGACTTCTATAAACAGAGTCCAAGTTACTGCTTAGTTCTTTTTGTCAGTGTTAATTTACATCCTTTGAAACTTTATAATAAAAAGAAGTTAGTTATTAATATTCCATAACATAAGGTCAAGATGCTAATATTATATGCAAATATTTTTGCACAATAATTGCCTAAATCTCTCTTTCTGACTGTTATTAAAAGAGCATAAATTTGAGTCAAGTAAAACAGAACAATGTCTTTTCCAGCTTTGTTGCTGGTGAGGAACCAGACTACCGTAACAGGAAAGTCCTCCATGCTGCAGGTCACTTCCTGTTTCTGTGAAGTGTTTGTGTTTCTGGGTCTTTTTCCCCCAGTATAGTTGCTGGTGTCTGATTTCAGAGATTAATGTTTGAGTTAAGATCTACAAACTGTTAGAAATAATAAGATAAGAAGAAATTGGAGAAAATAGAAATTTCATCCATTCATTTTCTTGAGGAGGCCACCTCAACTGGCTCCTCTTGATGTGGAGAAGCAGCAGCTCTACTCTGAGTCTCTCCCGGATGACCGAATTTCTCACCCTATCTCTAAGGCAGAGTCCAGACACCCAGCAGAGAAAGGTCATCTTGGCCATCTGTGTCCATGACCTTGTTCTTTCGGTCATGACTCAAAGCTCATGACCATAGAAATGAAATAGAAATTTGTTTCACTGTCAGAGGCCTCCCATATTTCAACATCATAAACATTCATCATAATAATTTAAAAACTAGGCTAAAATAAAATCTTTTTGCTGGAATATGGCACAGCTACCTATTATTCAGTGTAATATTTCTGAAGTAGATACCACAGTTGCTTTCGTATTTGGAAACCAAAGAAAAACAGTCACAGTTTATCTGCATTCTGGTGGAAATTGAACCCTTTCCTACCTCAACATACTGGAAGCTCATTCCCACTATGAAATTGGCAGACCAGTTGCAGAAACCAGCAACTGCGATGGCAGCAGGCCGGGGCCCCTGGCTGAAGAGCTCGGCTACAATGAACCACGGGATGGGGCCGGGGCCGATTTCAAAAAAGGCTACGAAGCTGAAGATGGCCACGATGCTGACATACGACATCCACCTGAGCTGGTCCTTAGCAGCAAAACAGAATGAGGTACGTTCAGCGGTACGATAAAAAGTCTCAGATGAAGACAGCATCACAGGTCAGGAACACCTACCAATAGTGCCATGGCAACAGTTAAAAAAACTGCAGAAACCGCCATCCCCATCAAACCGATGAGATGAAGAGGTCGTCGGCCCACATGCTCCACCACAAACAGCTGCAGCAAAGAGACAAAATGCAGCAAAGTCTCCCAGAGTCTTTACATCTCCGGCTCGATGCTCGTTAGTAACTTACAGAAACAACAGTGAAGGCAGTGTTGACCAACCCAGCACCAATGGTGGCATACACAGGCTGTGAAACACCTGCTCGCTCAAAGATCCCAGTCGAGTAGTAAAATACCTGCCAAGGGTGACAATAATCAGAAACACAGTGATACGTTTTGGTTCTCCAAACACAGCTGTTCTAAAGTCACAGAAACCAGGACAGTCCAATTTGATTTGTAAGATTTGGATCAAATCAAATTGTGATTACGCTACAAAATGGCACCATATAATACCACCTCTTCAATAGTCTTTGGTGGTCATGTCACCACTATGCAGTTTGGTTCGTTTGTAATCTTGGTGGCATTGAAGGTTGAAGAGCTTGCTGATAAAAAAGTTCTCTTCCCTACTTACAGCGTTGATTCCAGAAAGCTGCTGCGACAGCTGGAGCATGATGGCAACCAAGATGGGCTGGCGGTAGATGGGAGAGCGAAACAGCTCAGGAATGGTCACTTTCTTCTCCCTCATCATCTTCTGGCTCTCCTCCCTCATCTCCTGTATGTCCTCACTCACCTCGTCGGTGCCCCGCAACTTCATTAGGACTGGAGAAACACAGCAATACTCTCAGCCTGTTTGGAAAACGCTGACACAGTTAATGCAGGCCTCAGTGTAACCTGGGTTTGTGTTGAGAAACCAGATTTGGCTTTAACTTTGTGTCTAAAATCAAGTAAATTATTGAAAGAGTATTTTAACAGTTCAGAGACACAGTACAATCTCCATCAATCCTCCTCCATCACCCTCGGCACTGGCTCACCGCAGGGCTGCGTGCTGAGCCTCCTCCTCTTCATCTGAGCAGACACACACTGCTCAGATGTCATAGTTTGCAGATGACACAGCAGAGCGACGCATCACGAACAGTGATGAGTCCAATTACAGAGAGGAGGTGGAACACCTGGTGCAGAGAAAATAACCTGTGCATCAACATGCAGATGGTGGACTTCAGAAGGGACAAGGATCCTTTTCAGCCCCTGAACATGGGAGGAGCAGCTGTGGTGGAGGTCTCCAGAACATATCCAGTGACCTCATAAGGCGTACCGAGACTTCCCGTCTGGTCAGGAAGACCCACCAGTGTCTCTACTTCCTCAGGAAGTCTGCATCTGCATCACCGTGTGGCGCAGCAGCTGCACTGCTGAGAGGACGGCTCTGCAGAGGGCAGGTCAAGGCTGCACAGAGGTCTGTGGGGAGCAGCCTTTCCTCCACCTCAGACCTCGACACAGCACGATGCAGGAGGAGAGCCCTCCACCTCATGAAGGACTCCACCCGTCCTGCACACAGACTGTTCCAGCTGGTCCACTCAGGCAGGAGGCTGAGGAGCATCCAGAGCAAAACCACCAGGCTGAGTTTCTTCAGTTTCTTCCCTTCAGCCGACAGACTAGTGAACTCAAGCTGCACCAAATATAGCTTCACCTCATAGATTATTTACACACACATATCTATATGTCACATAAATTACTTTATTATTCATTAATTTATTTTTTTGTGTGTAGTAAATTTCTTAATCTGGGACCTGAGTCTGAATTTCGTACCACAAACACCAAAGATACTATGTCAATAAAAAATTCTTGAATTATTTAGTGTTTTACAGTTCAGAGACAAACTACAATCACAGTTAAGAATCCGTATCAAGATATGACTTCGAAGCTTACTGAGCTTGCCATTATAAAACTCGTTATTATAATTATTTATAGTCAAATCCTGTGGAGAAGCTTCATACCGGATCTATCAGGATCAAAAATGTAAAAGAAGCAAGAAAGTTTGGATGGTAGTGAAAGTGAGGACCAGTTTTTATTTGTCATATTTCATGTAAACGTCACTGACGAAAAGTAATTGTTCCATGACTCCATAGACTTATATCCATACAGATGAATATGTGTAGATCTTACCGCTGCAGGCTTTGCTCTCTTCATTGCAGTTAATGAGGAGGTAGCGGGGGCTCTCTGGGCAGAACGGCAGTAGAGCACACTGCAGCAAGGCTGGCAGCAGAGTGAACCCCATCAGCAGCGGCCACAGGGACGCATTCCCCAAGATGGATTCAATCCCAAAGATCTGCAGCACAACACAAATCTTATGAGAACTGAAGTAAAAATGGAGCAATTCTGAAATGGTCAAGGGATTTCAGATTACGCTGGAGACAGTTCATTTCATTCATTAAGAAAACCTGCACAAACTAGCAGGAAAAATATTTATATATTTTTTTTTTTGTCCAACGAAAGTGAGTCATTGTAGATTTTGATTTACATTGAGCTCCTCTGTCTTCTCCCAAAACGCTAGATAGAAACAACCAATCAGAGCCAGGAGGCGGGACTTAACGCTTGTCCATCACAAACTTGTATGCTGCTAAACCCCCTTCACTCGGCATCCTGCCCTATTCAGAGGAAACATCTGAAGCGAAGAAACGACTCTGGATTCTTGTGAAACAAGTGACGTGCCAAAGTATAGGCCTACCTGATTCTTAAAGAGGAAGACCATGAGGGTGTAAGGATCTCACCTGGGCCATGAGGATGCCAATCACCACACCGAGCTGATGCAGAGTGCCCAGGGCGCCGCGAAGAGATGTTGGAGAGATTTCCTCCACGTACATGGGTACAAACCCCGTAGAGAGGCCAGAGTACAAACCCACTATAAAACGTCCAATGATGAGCATCTCAAAGGAAGCTGCCAGTTTGCTGAACCCCATAAACACAGCAGCAAGGAAGGCTAACACATTGGCCATGAGCATGGAGTTCCTCCTTTAAAGATCAGAGTCATTTCACCATTAAGAATCTACTTTGATGTTCCGAGCCAAACTTCTTCTCTTCACGAATGACATCTTACCTGCCAAAGCGGTTGACAAAAAGGCCCACAGAAAAGGAGCCAAACATTCCTCCCACGGAGAAGACGGCCACAGAAAAAGACCACAGAGCTGTCAGCGTGCTCTGAGGAATGGGTTCTGAAAACCTGTCGATCCATGTCTTGTTGTAGAAGCTCTCAATGATCTTCAAGACAAACAGCACAGTGGGAAACAGTTGGGTCAAACCTTCTCGACTCAGACAGTGTGGATCCATGTGAAGCGCAGGAACATTTTGGAGACTGAACTTTTCTCTTGTGTCAGTCGGACAGGAGATGAGGAAACCTCCACAACTGTTGGACGAGTTTCCACAAAACCTGAGATGAGGCAAGCCGAAAGCTTTGCCTGGGACAAGATTTTCCTGACTTTCTTTTCAGAGTAGATTTTGTTATTATTACTAGAGACAAACCCAAAAGGTATTATGAAATTTAGCTGAATATTTAAAAGGCCACAATCACCTGCTCAATTAACTCACTAGATGCTGCTGTGTTTGATTACATAAACATCTGATTGGTTAACCTGTACAGCAGTTCAGCAGCCAATCAGTCACTTAGTAGTAATTTGATATAAATGATATATCAATAAAGATTTCCATAATTTTTTCTTTTGATGATTTATTTCCCAAGTGTGTTTCCATTTTAATAGAAATTTGTATATGACTAAAAAATAATTTGAAATCTTTTCATTTATTTTATTGTGGCACTTATGATCTTCCATACATGACATCCTGGGTCTGTAAATCATTTTGTACTTTAGCTTTAACACGCCTAGACCTGAACAACTTTTCTGAAACTTCCCGTCTTCGAACTTCTGACAAGAAAGTCTGGCTGCTTGGAAGAAAAGAGGGAGAAAACATTGTCTAAGTCAGGAATGTATCTGCTTCATTATCTGGATACAAATAAGTGTCCTGCATATATAAAAACAGCACAGTGTGTTTTCCCGCTTTCTTGGTCTCAAAGGTTTTCTCACATTCTGAGGTGCGTTGATGACACCCGTGTTGTAGCCAAACTGCAGAGAGCCGATCACAGCCGTCCCCACAGCCAGCATCAACTGGGGCGTTACCTGCATATGAACGAAACGTTGGGAAAAGAAATAAACATTTAATAAAAATGACTATGACAAATATCAAGACACAGAAACATCCAGTGACGTTTTTATTCCAATGGAATAAAAGGAATCTAAGAAAAGTTCCAGTTTTGTGGGATCGCCTCTCAACAATCCTTTGGGGTATGTGTGATTTCTGCATTTGCTGGTGTGTAGACAAAACGGGCCATTAATCTATGAATGTGAGGATTTTTTTGTCTTTTCATTTGAGCAATGAGTATTTCTTTAAAGAGGTGGGGAAAAATTGCTACCACAAGGAGATGAATGAAACAAGAAACTAGGACAAAAAAATCATGACCATTAACTACATTCTTAGTTGTATTGTAGGCACATGCTCGCTTCTGGTGCCTTTACATGGTCAGTATTCAGCCAGAGTGGCTTGAGGCAGTTAATGGTCAGGCTGGATTCCCCTCCACACGTTTGTACAGACTGACAAGAATTATTGTCCACACAGCGATGCCTGCAGGTGTATGACATCGTCCTCAACTCCGCAACACTCTTGCTGCAAGATAACAGATCTGCAGCTTCTCCGTCAAACTCCTGACAGAAGTTGGCTCCTCTCCTTCTTCCAAGCAAACAAAATTGGTGTCTAAATGTGTGCAGTAAAACTTTTCATTTGTGCTAATGTAATTTTCAAGATATTAATAAGTTTCCAGAGGTCATTAAAAGGTCAACCCCTCTTGACCTTTTGAGGATCAAGAGGGGTTGACCTCTTGACCCCTCTTGACCCTACAAAGGGTCAAGAGGGGTCAAGATTCTATTAAACAAAATTTGCTAAAATGTCTATTTGTGGCTTTTATGAAGAAGATATTAATGAAAGTTTAAAGGTCAAGTTGTCAACAAGCCCCCCTCACCCTCACCGAAATCACTTCTAATTGACGATACATCAATCTCACGATACATATATGTGATATTCCACTCATGACGATAGTCAGCAAACGATACGATTCAATGGATTTTTCAGGTTTTCTGAAATATTTTAGAGGGACAGAGTAATTTTGGCAACATTTTGTAACTGTTCAATAGACTTTGATTGGATTAGTTGAACTGATGGTGTAATACTGGCATAATAAATGTTTTTATTACACATTTGCTTTGTTTAAATGTTCATTGTGTGGCTTTGTGTATTTAGTTCTGCAGAGAAGGATTCTTTTTTGTCTCATGCACTTATATTAAATAATGTATTTCATCTCATTGTTTAAATAGTTGTAACTGGTTGTTTCATTACATGTCATTTTTAATGTACATGTGCAACTGGGAGGTAACTCTGTCATTTCAATCATGTGGATTTGACATAAAACTCAAAGTAGGATTTAATGTAAAAAAATATATATATACTTTCTTAGGGACAAAAATATAGATAAATAGCGTAGAAACGCCAAAATTAAACAGCACTAATGTCCTTTTAAAAACTCAAGCAGCTCAAACAAACCTTTTGCAGCACAAACACAGCACAAATATTTTACACTTTAATTTGCGTGATGTGTTTTGTTGACTTTTGAGGACCTGTGTATGTTTGTATCGTCTTCAAAATGATAAAAACACAGAAAGCAGCATAAATAATCACAATGTGGCGTAAGTCATCGACACCAGTTTAGTTTGAATTGAAGGTGGAGGGAAAAGGGTCGGAGGCGAGGCCCACCACACATGTCCGAGTTTCTCCTGTTTATTTTAAGACCATTATTCTCCAGCGATTAAAGGTGGAATCATCCATCCGCTCGTCATCAGATCAATATTTTATTCACATTTCCAAGCTTTTCCAACGTAACATAATATGTTATGTAATCACAGAAGCTGTTTTTGAGGTTTGGTTTTGTGTGGACTGGCAGGAGGAACTCGCCCACATTTTCCAACCACATTTTGCTGAAGAAAGCTGGAAAACAAAGAACTACCAGGAAGCAATCCAATTACAAATGAACCAATGAACAATTGTTTAGAAACAATTTGAAATAACTTAAATAGTAACTAATACATTTAAGAATCCAAAATGAATGGACAGAATTTAAGCTGCCTGAAGTGACTGCTCTCACACAACAATACTGGGTGGGGAGGGGATGTATTGATCAAGCAGCAGTTACCTTCCCGCTGCACTCCATATCACCTCAGACAGTCCACACTTGACCTCCAGATTATGAAAAGGAGAACAATCGTTGTTAATCTGTTCCCTCAAATTAATCTGCTTTCAAGCAAAAAGTGTCTGCTCTGTTATTTGGTCCCAAGTCAGTGTAAACAAGCGTTTACTTTCCTCCTCCATTCACCTGCAGAAGTAAGAGGCTTAGCGACGTCACCGCTAAGTGGATCTTCACGCTCTGATTGGTCGAGAGGAGCTCACAGTGAGACTAACACATGTTTATCAGAGTGCTAATAGCAGCTTAAACAGATTGACAATCCTTAAGAGATAACCTAAGGAAAGCACAGAGCACATAAAAACCGATTTAAAATCTATAACATAAACTTGCTTATAGACAAAATAAAAAGCCTTTTGTAAGCAATTATTTCTCTTAGATAGATTTTCTTTTGTTCCTGTCAACTGGTCTTGTTCAATAATTTTCCATTTCCAATAAAAGGGAACTTTTGGGGCTGCTTTTACAGTATTGTGTTCTGTTCTAATTGAATTATATTTTAATTAATGTGGGGGTGCAGATTCACAACAAAACCTGTCAGTTTAGTCCTTTAAAATAGACAGATTCAAACTCATTTACATCCATTCCTCTGTGATCCTCGTTTATAAAAGCAGCACGATTCTGTTTTTAGTTGTGAGTACACGCGTGTGCTCTGTCTTCTCAAACCCTCAGTCATTTGTCCCAGAGGGCTGATCAGGCTGGGACAGATTCTGGTTCTGCTGGAGGGTCTTTTCTGGAAGAGGGGCTGTTCTTACATGCTTGGTTGCTGCAAAGTCAGTGACTCAATGCATGTAATGGTGCACTACATGCTTGTCCAGGAGGAGTGAATAATGCAAATCCATGCATTTTTTTAACTGCAAGCTGAATGATAAACTGAATTTTACTGCATCATTTTAATCAATTGGAACAACATTATAATTATGCGAGTATAGTGGATTGGCCATGAAGATTTGTTGTGACTGAGTGGGAACTATGTTAATATACACTTCAACTGACATTAAATTTTTTGTGCCGACTTTTCAAAAAAGATTTAAACATTTCTCATAGTTGTTGTTAGTCCTTTTATCTTTTAAGCCTTGGAAGAACTGTAAAAAATTGTAAAAATGTAAAAATATATATATATATATATATATATATATATATATATATATATATATATATATATATATATATATATATATATATATATATATAAGTTTTTACATATTTACCAAGTTATGACAGATGATCTGTGTTGGTACTCTTCACTCTTCATTCTGAAACAACTCAGAACCCTGAAGAATTTTGTACCACTGTCAAACATGCATGTGTATGTGCTGCTCACAACCTCCCCCTTTGCTCTCTGTTGTGCTACATCTCCTTCTCTACAGCACAACCTGCTATGAATGATAAGGCCAGCATGGCTATAGTTGGTGGCCGATTAGCAGTTTTCCTGGAAGGTCAGTTGTTCCTCCGCCTTTAGCAAAGCTGCAGCTCATACTCTGGACACCGAGTGGCGCTGATACGTGGAGAAAAATTGAAACCGCCAACTTAGTTAAACCAGGAATAAAAAAAGGTAATAAGAATGAGCAGTGCTTTACAAAAAAACTGCAGTTTTTTTATTTCACAACTTTGTGTTGTGATAGAGTCAATAAAACTGCAGTGAAACAAATCTACTGTCAATAAAAGTGTTACCTTCCGACGTGTGCAGCGTTTCTTGGAGGCCTTGAACCCTGGCGAAGACAAGTTTATTAGAATTTAAATGGTTTTAAATAAAGATATGAGATAAACTTATAACTTCTAATAAATGTTGGCCATTGTTGCACAGCGGAGAATGATGGGCCAAGTCACTCCCAGTGTAACACATTTATTGAGAATAACTGCAAAACAGATAAACCCTAAGCTGCTTCCTCAACATTGGCCAACTTCTTAACAAGAGCATAATTTTCACCGTAAAACACAATTATCAGCATAACACAACAGCTACATCCACATATTATTTTTCTCTCAGCTTACTTGTAAAACAGACACACAGCAGGTTATAGCAGCTGCTGTTATGTCTGCTCTAAGCTGCTTCCACACGTGGTTGATATTTTAACGAATAAAAATCGTTTTGTAAATGAATAATTACCTGTTTTTTAGTTTAATCCTCCTCGGTTAAAGGATTTAATCAAATTTATTTTGCTAGACTCTGTCTCCTCTTGGTACATGAATCACTCATCATCCGGTTTATGAAAACAATTAGCAAAAATGTATTTTGTCTCAACCGCAGAAGTCTAAATCGTCGATTTGTATCACGATTTTGATCGTTTCTTGGAAAATGGAAGCTTAGTAGACGGGTAATCACAAATCCCAGCCTCTATAAAAAAGAGGATCTGTAGTCAGGAGTTCGTGTGCCAACTTCTTTTCTGCTGGCAAAATTTATACATTTTTAAATATAATATATTATTCTAAAGGTATCGTCATGCTGCAAATGACCTTTAACATAATAAAACAGGGAGCTACTATTTTCATGCCTTCCTGTTTTTCACAGTGCCACACTATGAAACCCTATAATGGCATTTTTAATAACTATATTTAAAAGGGAGTTTTATGACAGTTCCTTTCTTTTCCTTTTGGTGCAGCTAACACACCAAGCTGGGATGAGACGGCTCCTCGTAATGTCTGGCCCTTAATGTGTTGACTAGTGTGTGTCTATGTTGTCTCCTGGCGCGTGTGTATGCGTGAGTTTGTGTGTGTGCTGTGTGTCGTGTCAGTCCGGCTTAACTCATGTTGCCTCTCTAATCCTCTGATGAGCTCTTTCTAATTCTATTCAGAAGACAACATGGTGACATCTGATCTCGCTGCAGCTTGTTCACAGATACAAATGAAACAAACATTATCGCTGCAGAGAAAGTGCAATTAATATTTCTGAAGCAGCCATATCCATGTCTATGTGACTCATGTCACATGTCACCCAGATGGTTATTGATCAGTGAAAAAAATGTTTAAACTGTATTTTGTGTTTACTTGCGTTGTCTTTAATTAACACATTGGTTTGATGTTCTGAAGCACTAAAGAGAGACAAACACTTTTTATTTGGCTCAGACCCAATACTGGCACTTGCACCCTTGTTCTGCCCTTGTTTCCTTCAAATGCACGTTCACACTGAAGGGTTTGAGTGTGTCCCAAATCTCTCCACATCCACCCTTCTCTCTACCCTTATTTTGGATCCTATTTCCGTCCTGACTCTAAGTCCACATCCATGCTTGATATCACAGTCCGGCAGTATCATGCGTGGTTTACCAAAGTATTTAATTTATTTCTCCGTTTTACTCATTAAAGTTAAGCCTTCAAACATAATAGCTTTATTTTTCTCAATGTCTTATCTGAGAGCTGGACAGTATTAAATTTGTAAATGACTAATTTGCTTATTTATTTCCTTTCCCAGATTACAAATATAACACCAGCATCTTTGGTATTATATTTTACGCACTTGTTTGCTCCAGAACTTTAAAGAACCCAAATGTCTCACTTTATGGGGGAGAACTGGTCAATAGATCGATGTTTTCAGTCTATATTTATGAATGCCATTGTCGATGAACAAAACAATTTTACTTATCTGAAAAAAACACATACAAAATCCAAATCCTCACATGCTTGTTGTGATCTTAAAAAACAAAAAAAGCCTGTAAACAAAGGATTGAATATGAATGTAGCATAAAGGATTTCCTCATTGATCGATCAGATCCAAACACCAACTAGTTTGGTTCTCATGAAACAATCAAGGCTGTTAAATGAGCTCCAGAGATCCATGTTGCCGACAGACATTTCCTGAGGAAACGCAGCAGAAACTGCAGCTGTGGGAATGTGTGAATGTTGAACCATCTGTAGTTGTGGAGCAACTCGTTTCAGCTTCTGCTCACGTCAGTCACTTGGACTGTGCATCTATTTACTTTTCTGTGGAACCTTTTCCATATTGATCTGAAACCACAAGCTTTTTCCAGTTTGCCTTCGGTGCAGAACAGTGGCAGCCAGATTGTTGAGCAACCCGGAGCGCTCTCCCACCCTCTCTCCATATTTTCTTTGATTCCATATGTTCATGACAAATAGTTTTGGAGGCTGTTAAACATTAAAACCATTCAATAGCTCCAGTGTTTCTTGGAAGACCAGGAGTATGTAAATCCCATGAAGCAATCCATCACGGCTGAATCCTCTCTGCTACTCTTGTTAGGGAAGAGGAGTGTCTCTAAATGTGACATCAGGAGAAACCTGAGACCGTTATTTCCAGCAGCCCTCCCATTAGTCTGTCTACTCTCACGTTTGCTCTCCTTTCCCCCGAACTTCTCTCCGCTCTCTCAGCTGGGCTCCAAACGGCCCAACTTTTCCACCCTGTCTGCCTAAACTGCACCACCTATCCTTCCAAGAAGTTCCACCGTGGTATTGACTTCCTCCTGGTTCTGCTTCTGAAGGTAGGTCTCTGAATGGCCTGTGCTGCCACGTGTTGGCCGCTTTGACAAGATCTGCTGAGGACGAGTGAGGGAGCATGGGAGAAACGCTCTGACAGCTTGGTCAAACTGGTTTCACTGGGCGTTCACAGGCTGACTGTGATAACAGTGTTTGATCTAAACTCTTTTTAAATTAAACTGATTTACACTAACTTTACTTACTTTATAAAACAGACCAGAGAAAACATTATTTTAGAAGATATGACATCAATTTACAACCCAACCTCAAGTAAATTATTATTGTGATTGTTATTGCAGAAGTGAAAGGGAGACATTATTGGTGAGTTTTGGTTCTATGCAGAAGGTTTGATTATTTTTGTTTTAATTTTGACTTGCATGAACTTATGTTTTTAATAATGTGTAGTTGACAGAAAAGTATTAATCATAAAGAAGGAATGGGAAAAAGCACACAAATAATTTTGCAGTATTTTTAAACATTTAATAGCGAGTGTTTTGCTTGCTGAAGACATGCCGTCATAAAACAGAGCCTGTGTCTTATATAAGCTGTAAAGGCCCATGTCAGGAAAAGAGAGGGCTGGGCCTCTCCCAGGAACAACTTGTTCACTGTTGCTACTCACTTTGACAGAGAAGGCAGGGTCAACAAAGAAAATTTGCAAACTTTGAAATAGCTATTTTACTTTAGGCTTTGGTCATTTTTCTCAATTTTATTTGATGGGGAAACGGATTACTTCTTGATTTTGATTCTCTTATACAATGCTTGAAGCAGTTTTCAGCAAACTTATGGCACAAATTTCCGTTCGGGGAAAAATTACTTAAGGGGAATTACAAAATAAGTTAATATAATGTTAAAGATTATAGATAAATTAGGCAATGAAACCAACGGAGTTCAATAGAAGACCACAGGTCATCTGAGTTACTGTAGCAGTGCTTTGATAGTTTAAGTCAGTGGTGCCCAAAGTCGGTCCTCGAAGGCCGACATCCTGCATGGTTTAGTTCTCTCTCTGATTTAATGCACCTAGATCCAATGATGGCTCATTAGAAGGTCTAAGAAGAACACTAACATGCTGAAAAGGTTGCTACTACCACCAGGGTAGTAAACTAAAACATGCAGGATGCCGGCCCTCGAGGACCGACTTTGGACAACTCTGGTTTAGGTGTTGCCAGGTTGCATGGTTCATTCTGGGGATCTTATCAGGATTACAGGTGAGGGACTGCCTCACCTGCCTTCCTTGACTGCATGTCACTGCTCCAGAGCCCAAAGGGGCAGCACTCTGAGGATCACCTCAATCCAAACACCAGGTCCTCTGTAGAAAAGGCAAAGTCTGAGAACTTTGAGGAAGTTGAGTCCATCACCATCTTGCATACAGCAGACAGTGGATGAGGTTCACCCCAAAATGCTGAATTTATTGTTTGCATGTCATGTTGAAGTGCCTCTTTAACAATGCAAGGAGTATTGGATAACACTTCCTGAGTGGAGACTCAACTAGGCCTTGTGGAACAAATTTCTTTAATAAAAACAGGGGCCATAGAGTATTTCAGCTATTGAAAGATAACAGTGTTTTCCTGCTTGGGAAACTTTACTCTTGGATGTTGGAATAGAGAGTCCAACTAAGTGTAAAATGTCAGACTCTGGAGAAGCGGCCATGGTTTTCATCTTGGCTATGAAAAGCTGGGCTAGATGTTTACCCTGTTTACCCTGGACTGCAGTGGGGATTCATGGGAGTTTGGCTGTCCCGCCTACATGTGTTTTATGGATCTAGAGAAAACGTACAATAAGGCTCTTTGGTGTATTTTGTAGCAGACGATGAAGGGTTAAGTGGTACCTGCAATGCTTTCAGAGCTAACTGGTCCTTCCCTACCTTGAATTAAACATGTGGTCATAATTTTACAGTGGCAGCTAAGTTTGTCCAATGCCCAGGCATGGGTTTTGTTTGTTCGTTCAACCTTTTGCCAAGGACAGCTACAATATTCCAATGTATCCGTCACTGAAAAGTACACATGATCAGGCATCTGTTTAAACAGAGATTCAGGACAGAAGCTCTGAAAGCTGGTTGGATCGTTGGTTGGGTGTGTTCCTGCGTCACAAAGAGTAAGAAAATGTCGGCTCAAATGTCTGGTTTCTCTTATTTTACTTTTGCTGACAATTGTTCATTCTTATTAACAAATCACACACAATGTGTGATATATATACATAACTAAATGTATATATAGCGATTTTTTTTAAATTTTCCAGTCTTTCTGTTATAGTGGAAGAAATATTTATCTGCCAAGACAAATTCTCATACTTAGCCCTGCTTTTACAGCTTAGAGCATAAATGATCAAGCTAAAAAAAAAATACCCCAGTTTTTCACCTTTAACGTGCGAGGCCGGATTAAATAAATCACACATTCTGTCACTACTGAGGCCAACATGGAGGAGAACCATCCAGGGTTGGCCCCATTCCAGCCTCTTATCTGTACAGACATGTCACTTTCACTGCATTTTGCAAAACATTTACCCTCAAATGGAAACCCTGACACTTATTTTCTCTAACTGAGCCCAAAGTTTGGCCTAATAGTCTCTTTGGTCCAGTTTCATTAGAATCACCTACAAGATAAACACTAATGAAAACCAAGTGGGCATACAGCAACTGGTTTATTCATTCTGTTCATCATCGGACTAATGTCATGCATGACATACATTGCAAAACAAAAACATCAAAACGATTTCTAGATTAGCAGGTCGACTAAACAGTGGATAAGTTGAGTTTCTCTGCACACTAAAATGACTGAAAATAATCTTTCTGGTGGAATGAATTATACCAATTGTTCTGTCTTATTTTTCTGTTAAAGTTCATAATGCTTTAGAATCTTAAATAAAATCAATTAGCTTTTTAGGCTTTTTCCCATTTTGAAGGCACTGGAATGTGCAGGAAATAAACTTTTTTGCGTTTCAAATTGAAGAAAAGGGACAAATAACCATCTTTACTCTCCTCTCATTGTCTTTCCTATGTTCCAGAATTTAAACTCAAAGTCTTTACTCTAAATATGGAAATGGAGAAGATCACAAATGGGATTAACCTCGACGGGGCAATGGAGGCAGGGTATGTTTCCGTGTTCGTCACATTCACTGACTTGCATTTAATCTCCAAAATCTGTGTAAAATCAAATACGCTAAGAAAGTCTTTATATTGCAGATTACCACCAGAGGAAGAAAAGTTCCTGCAGCACAAAGACAATGATTTAAAGAGGCCACAGTTCACAGATGTGAGTGATAACTTTGAAAAGATTGAAAAGCTTCTCTAACCTCAGAAGCTGCATCTCGTCTCAGCCTAGAGAAGAGATACTTTGTGGTGAAATAATGTTTGTCTACTACTGCATTATGGGTCTGAGGGTTTCTGCTGGACCATTCAAAAAAGTAGTAAATGTAACTATTACCATTAGTAAATTTTTCATTTGTCAAGATCTGATATTTCACCATTTGCACCCCTCTGGGCAGTACCTTGGCATTGAGAAACCCTTTTAAAGTTCATCAGTTAATATTCAGCCAGCTAATATTGACTTGCACATAGGAGCATGTCTGCTTTCTAAGAGACATCTGAGAGACATCAGGTGGTTTGAAGACTTTCTATGCCTTTTTGCACATCCTTTCCCCACATGTTTATTATTTATTCCACATATCATTCCACTTCATTGTACATATTTGAAATTATGGACTTGCTTCTTTTATATTTGTGAATTACTTGAGTGGTTTTCAATAAACCTTTTTAATTTCATGTCAATAGAAATACTAAAAATGTGAGGTCTGGTGGGCAAGATATGGGATAAGATGAGATATGTCCACTTTCCAGAGCTCCTGATAAATCAGCATTAACCACAAGTCTTCAGAATTGTCTCAGTCCATCATAGCAAAGATTCGGCAAGGTTCTGGAAGCATTCCCCAGAGAATCTGGTCCATATAGACATGATGGCAGGTCCTGTGAGATGCATCATTCTTTAGGAAATAATCTGCTTATGGATTGTTTTTTTGTTTTGTTTCTTTCACTTTGAGGTTGTTGTTTTTTTCTGACTATTGAACTTTCTATGTTTTTCATCACCTACGAATTATTTATAACTGAAATATGAGAATTTTCTGAATAACATGTATATGATGAACACAACTCTACAATATTTTTATTGACTAAATTCTAATATTATGTCTTTCCCAGTTTGAAGGAAAAACCTCCTATGGGATGTCTGTTTTCAACTTAAGCAATGCCATCATGGGCAGTGGCATCTTGGGGCTGGCTTATGCAATGTCAAACACTGGCATTGTCCTTTTTCTGTGAGTAAAACAAAGAATGAAAGTTTCATTCTATCTGGAAGGACATAATACTTTCATATATTGTTTCCCTCAAATCTCCCTCACACACACACACACACACACACACACACACACACACACACACACACACACGAGTGGACATAAACAAGGTCATGCTGTTTTCCAACAAAAAGAAATTGCCTACTGTTCCACCATGTATTTTATCCTGAAAAGGTTCCTTTATTGAGTTTGTATCTTCTCACTAAGGATTAATGGGTTGTAAATATCTTACCCATCATTGTATTATGTTTTCTTTAATTAAATGGCCATCTCTCTCCATACAGTTGTCCATTGGTACCTATCTCCCAAACCATTTTTCCATCATTGGTGAACAAGACCCTTAGATATTTAAACTTCTCCATTTGGGACAGGAACACCTCCCTAACCCGGAGGCGGTACTCACTGCTTCCCCCTCTTGAGACACTGGATGGCCGACCAGAATCTACTCAAAGAATGCAGATGTCATTGTCCATGGCCTCAGGCCCAAATGCATCAGCAGACCCTTGTGATGCATTTAAACCTGTCAGTTTCATCTAGTATTCTCACCCAGCTGGTGTGCCAATTGCTAACATTTGCCCGTAACGTAACCAATGTGCCAGTTTGATTTTAAGAAGTTTACCAGAAAATGCCTGCGCTGTAGAGAACAGTCTCTTCCATGGTGAAGAGAGTAGAGCCAATCCAAACAACGCAGCTATTCATGTTCATTCAATATTTGGAAGTGTGGTTGACACGGGAAATTACAGGCAAACTACAAATCTAAAAATAATACAGAAAATTGACCTCATTGGTCACAAGTACTTCTTCTGTTCACCGATTGGCCCCCTCAAAAATCGACTGGAGAGAATTCAAGTCAATGGGAGAAACCCCAGACTATGCTGAGAGCTAGAACTTGTAAAAAATGTAAATATTAAGCTCGACTGTTACAAAAGTAAGAAATTAAAAAGTTCAGAGAACAAATTCTTGACTTTTTGTCTCCTGCAGGATCCTGCTGACATGTATTGCCTGTTTATCTTGTTATTCAATCCACCTTCTGCTTCGCAGTGCTGGAGTGGTCGGTGAGAGCTCTTTCTCTTCTCAGTTCTTTATGTTTGTAGTTGAATCGAATGGAATTGTCCCTAGAATCTCAGCGTTAAATACCCTTTTCTTCAGGGATCCGTGCCTACGAGCAGCTGGGCCAGAGAGCTTTTGGACGTTCGGGAAAGATCCTAGCGGCTGTCATCATAACATTCCACAACATTGGGGGTAAGACCATGGAAAGTGGATGCCAGTTGCGACGCCTCTGGCAAGTATGGCGTTACTTTATGTCATGTGACGATGTGGTTAACTATGTTTGTCTTTAACTGCAGCCATGTCCAGCTACTTATTCATTGTAAAATCTGAGTTACCATTGGTCATTCAAGCCTTTCTCAGACAAACATCTATCACTGAGTGAGTATTGACCCAATATATTTAACTGCACATAATCAATCTAAACAAGAGAAATACAGTCAACAAATAAAAAGACCTTCTCCTCAGATTTTTAATGGCAGTCTGACTATTTTAATGTGATTGCAAATCCATGTAAAAATGGGATATTTGTACATAAAATATATCATGTTTTTTCATGTGAAATGGTTCAAGTCCAGTTAAAGTCGTGACTCACTGATGTGAGTGTTCAAGTCGAGTCTCAAGCCTCTTTGTGATATTTATTTATGAAAGTTGTCTGACTCAGCTTCACATCAAATGACTTGAATCCACCTCTCTTGTGAAAAACAACACAACAATGAAATAGGAGCAAAAGAAAATGTAATCAATCACAATTTTTTTTTTAAATTGATAAAAATAGCTGAATCGACATCCAATAAAAACAGAAGACCATCATGTTTGTGTCTAAATGTTTCTAAAAGACTCAAAACTGAATGCCAGTATGTTTTGTTTTTTTCTTTTTTTAATCTGGAAAGAATAAATAACTTTTATTTGCTTTATGCATTGTGTTTTATGTGGTGTTCTGTGTTCTGGTCTTAGGAGCTGGTTTATGAATGGAAACTACCTGATCATTATTGTCACCATCTGCGTTATCTTCCCACTGGCCACAATGAAACATTTGGGTAAGTCCCGGTCGATGTCGCCCAAAACATTAGAAGGACAGTCTCCCCCCCAGTATATTTCTATGAAGCTAGACAAACACTTTTTGTAATAATATATTATTGGATATTATGTGGCAGGGTTTGAAAATTAGGAGGAAAATCAGTTATTTGGCCCAATTATTGTCAAATCTGCAGATACAGAAATCTAAACACAACTCAAAAACCTTTCAAACTGACCAGCATTTCCATATTCTTGCCAGTCTGTCCAGTTGTATCTGTAGGGTGAGACCAAAACTCTGAAGCTAATATCAAAGCAACAAAGTTTTCATCTGAATCTCACATATGTGAAACAGATTATTTCTAGTCTTCAAAGAAAACTCTGATTTAGTCTGTCTGTAATGTAAATGTTAACTGATAAAAGTATTTTTTGTATATCTGTGGATGTATTTTTCATCAGTGTGTTGTTTTCTGATCGTTATACAGGATATCTCGGCTATACAAGTGGCTTCTCTCTTTCCTGCATGGTCTTCTTCCTCTGTGCGGTGAGCTGTCAAAGTGCCAAACTCTGTGGGTTTTATGTCAGGAAAAATCCAAATGCACCACAGCTCAAGTTTCAATTCACCAACAAGCAAATATGTATGTGAAGATACTGATATGAATTGATATCATAAGCTCCACTTTCCTAACTGTCCTTAAGAAAGTGTCTTTTTCTCACACGGAGGAGACTTTTCAGCAGAAACCTGAAACTTGGCTGACTACCAAAGACAGATTGATGACCATGCTATTCAAGATGAAATGCATCGGATAGCATTTCAATGCAAAGTTAAATGTTTATTTTACATTTAACTTTGGGCTGGTTATTAAAATCCATTTAGAACGTGAACAGCAGCACTTTCAGAATCGCACTTTTAAAGAAAAACAAGCTCCAAGAAGAGCCTCTGCACACAAGCTTCTACAAACTTTAACAATCACCCAGAGAAAGCTACGTTTTCAGAAACATCCTTTCCTTACCTGGATTGCATACCTTTGTCACGTCAGGTCATCTACAAGAAGTTTAACATCGCTTGCCCGTTGGAGACATTCGGTAACTTCTCTGCAACCGCGCCCATCTCTGACGACACTTGCGTGGCCAAATACTTCACCATCAACCATGAGGTGAGGCTTCGCCTTGCTGGATGGGACGGGAACTCACACGCATGTTCATTTGGGCCTGCTGTGAGCTGGGGTGACTGGAACTCAGAGACTGAGCACATGCAGACTGAAGTGCCTCATGTTACACCTTCCTTAAGTTATGCCCATTAATCTTTCACTTTGTTCCTAGACAGCGTATACCATCCCCATCCTGGCATTTGCGTTTGTCTGTCACCCTGAAGTGCTTCCTGTCTACACAGAGCTGAGCAAGTAAGACGTACAAAACAGATGATAAACCATACCAATAATTTAATATAGCACGCTGTTTTGATTTATGAAGTTACATTCTTGATTCTGCAATGGTTCTGTTGAATTGACTGATGAAGATATGAGATTCTAGAAAGCAAATTGAAATATAAACTATTAAATGCAGATTGAAGGCGTGTTAACCTGCTGAGTCAGAAGAAGACATTGATTGATGATCATATCATCATTTTCGGGTCTGTGGTACTTCTCAGGATGTTTCTCCAACTGCATTTTTGTTTAATTGAAAACTTCTGTGATGTTTCCCCTTAAGTCCAACCAAGAGAAGAATGCAGACTATTGGAAATGTTTCCATCTTCGCAATGTTCATCATGTATTTCTTCACGGCTATTTTTGGCTACCTAACCTTCTACGGTGAGCACTCCTCACTTTAGTCTAATACAAACGAAACAATTCATTTACATTCTGTGCATTTAAATTGGGAGAAATGTCAATTATAAGCATTCAAACATATAGGTTCAATTTGGAATATTTAAATTAGACATATACACATTCTCCTCCGAAAATAAAGCAAATAAGAAAAACAGGGGGGAAAAAAAAGCTACTTAAAGAACATGAAAAAAATACAAATTCAAATACTGAGACCAGGCGTGGCCGTCGCCGCAGCAGGAGTCAAACACTTTAATTGAGCTGTGGAACATCCACTGGAGTCTGGATGTGAAAGTTGAATGTGCAGAAAACAGCAGCGGTCCAGACACTGGAAAGGCTTGTGAAATCTGATTTGTCACCATTCCATCAAACTGTAACAAAATGGCACTGACAGTGAGGGTTAACACATAATTGCCTACTTGCGGATTCGCCTGTGAAAGCGCTAAGATTTAGATTTTCTACAAGGATCAGCTATAGTGCAGCCAGGAAGAACTCCTGTCACCAGAGAATCAAGGCAGGAGGCTCCACACTTTGCGAGCCGTCACTCATTTACAGCCGAATCCCACAGGATGAGCCACGCCGGGGCTTCAGGTGCAGCAGTGTGAGCGCTGTTCAACTGGACAGTTAGAAACTTTAAATTAAAAACTGAAATCAAAACTGAAAATGCACATTCCATTAAATATTGATAGGGTGTGAAATTCTAAAAAGTATTCACGCAAACTATCAGGTGGGTTTGACATTTGGGTTTTTCTAAACAACCTGTTTGACCTTTATGAGAATCCTTCCCCAAAGTGATCTTGCTCTGACTGATATTTATAGCAAGTATCACACCAACTTCTCATAAGTCCACAAACCCATGTTGCATGCCAACACTAAATGTGTCTTATTGACAGATTTATTGCCTGTGGAGTGAATGTCCTGAACTCTGTGTCTGATTCCACAGGAGGCACAGAGGCTGAGCTCCTCCACACCTACAGCAGGGTCGATCCTCTGGACACGTTGATCCTATGTGTGCGACTGGCTGTGCTGGTGGCCGTCACACTCACTGTACCCGTTGTCTTGTTTCCGGTAAGAATCGATTGGGACACAGGGCCATGCAGAGACAAGTGGGGGTCAGGGGCTCAGAGTTAAAAAGGGGGACTTGATCCTGTCAGCAGCGGCTTTAACCGCCTGGTAGAAGCACTAAGGTGAAGCAGAGCATTTCTTTATATCGGTTCAGTCATTAATAGATTAAGGGAATACTAGTTTATTTTGCTAGATTGTTATTTTTAGCTAAATATTGCTGTTGAGCAGCACAAGCAGGCCTCATGATGCAAACCTTAAAAAACTGGAGGAAAAAACTTGGAAAAAAAAACAAAACTCAAAAAAGGGCACTTGAAGCATCAAAGAAAAAAGGGGCAGAGACCACACACACACTCCTCTGCACGTGCCTGATAATACAGAACACAAACAAAAATGAATTTGATTTCTATCTCTAGCTAAAGAGATTCATGATAGATACTGATGTCTGTGAAGCCTCCTGATAATCATATTTGTGTCAGATTCGTCGAGCGCTCCTGCAGCTGCTGTTCCCAGAAAAACCCTTCCACTGGTTACGTCACATCGCCATCGCTGTGTGCCTGCTGTTCGCCGTGAACCTGCTGGTCATCTTTGTTCCCAACATTCGAGACATTTTTGGGATTACAGGTGAGATAATACAGCTGTGAGAAAAACAAAGATTACTGCTTTTGCTTCTCCAGAATAACACAGCTGCAACTTCATGGGAACATCTGGTAACATCTGGCAAGAGACCATGAGCCGTTCCAACCACTAGACTCACACGTTTGTTTTGGCAATGCCGTGCAAAAGCAACTTGATTCCTGCTTTTGGAGCAGCTTCTGGTCCGCTTGGCGTTCACATATGCATACCAGAGTTCACTTGAACTAAGCCAAGCAGAGTTGCTTTTTTTATTTTTTTTTTTTTGCCACAATAGAGTATTAGGGCCAGTGTAGATAGAAAAAAAGGAATTCCCAATAACAAACTCAGAAATTTTGAGATTAATCTTTGAAAAATTTCAAGAAAAACCGTGGACATTTCTGAGTTCCAAAAGTCGAAAACTTTCAACAAACTCAGAAAATTATTTTTTGTTGTTTGTTTGTTTACCTAGTTTAGTCTAGAATTTAATTTACTTTTTTTCTTTCTATGAGTCTACGCAACATTGTAGATTGCACATTCACTTCCCTAAACCAACAAAATGTTTTCGGCAAACAAAACTAGAGTTTTATTAAATTGGACTAAGGAGGGCTGGTTTGAATGCTCTCTCAGAGTTAAGCTGAAACAGATTAAGCAGTTGGGTTGTGGTTTCATAATTAGCTATCCATTAAACTAAGCTCCTAAAAGGTTTCTTGTGGCAGTAAGATGAATTGCCGTGTTTAATCCTCTTGTGCAGGGGCGACCACTGCTCCCACTCTGATCTTCATCCTGCCTGGACTCTTCTACATTCGAATCATTCCCAAAAACCAGGAGCCCATGAGATCCAGGCCAAAGATCCAGGTACATGTCTCTGATCCGGGTCTTGAGCAGAGGACTTGCTCAGAATGACAGAGTCAGTTGATGTTAATGGTTATCTGCTGTTTTTCAGGCTGCTTGTTTCACCACTTTGGGTTTGATCTTCATGATCATGAGTCTGACCTTCATCATACTTGATTGGACGAGTGGAGAAAAGCGAAGTCTCGGCGGCCATTAACACGTTCCCTCTCTGACTCTTAACCTATTGCTGTGTCCCCCTCTTCCAGGACTCTTAAAGAAAACAAATTTTTCATCTAAAGATGAAGACGTCAGTGAGACTGACATTATTCTGGTTAGGACCAGCTGTACCTCCACTGTGACGAGGAGGAAATTTCAACCCTGACGCTGGGATAACGTTCGCTGCACATGTTTAACTTGCAGTATTCACGATTTCCGACAGACCCTCAACCACAGAAAGCTTGGAGCTTTTCCTGAGGCTAAACGTGGCGTTTTATTAGCAACGGTTTTAAAAGTAAAACTCTACGCCAAAAAACGGGGAGCAATCTTTTTTTTCTTTTCTTTTTTTTGACGAAAATTAGCTTATTTACATAATGATTGTGAAATCAATCCAAGATGGTGCTTAAAACTTGGTGGACCTTAAATTAATCTGAGAAAAGGGCGATCTTGGGTCAATGCATTTGCTCTTATGAACCTGTGAAGAACTCAAATGTCTTTGTTTCGTAATTCTGTAGAAAAAGACATAAAAAAAAAACAAGAAAATTGTCTATGAGCCAAAAATTTAAAAACCTTGAGGAACTGTGAATGTGTTAATTTGGTTTGTTTGTGAATATTCTTAAATAAAATGTATAAAAGAATACTGGTCTAACTAAGATATGCTTGCAACCTTCATTATGTCACTTCATGCACCAAAGAGTCTGTTGGTATATCACCAGAGGCAGACAAAAGGTTAGAGAGAGTAATTCTTTCAATGACTTGGACTTATCTCTGTTGCCCAGCTTATCCTTTAATTGTTTAGGTTTTGGATGAAAGCTCAATGGTTTATTATTTTCTAGTCATTGCCCATCTTCTGTGGCAGATGATCACAAACGCCAGGTTACCTTTGTCATAGAGAACCTGGAGATGACATTTGTTATCAATTGAAGGCACAGAAATATACCGTATCAAAATCTGCCACAAGCATGTGGCATTAAATGTAAATTTCAAATAACTGTCACTGTATCAATTAAGTCGGTTATAAAAAAAAAGGAAGTCCATGGATCTGTAAGGCATCTTTATTTAAGCTGGTAGCATGTATACAATACTCTGCTGATGAATCTAGAAAACATCTCCATTTAACTACATTCAAATTCCTTTTGTTCATCATTTCATGCTCAAATGTGATCAAGAAAGAACACATAACGTCTGAAAATCAAACACCAATTCATGTATCAATCAATTTGACACTGGAGAAGATCCTCTGCAAACAGATCATGAAGCCACATTATGCTGTCCAGAGTCCCATTTCACAAAACAATCAAACCAGTGGATGGACCATCAGAGCTCCTCTGTAGATTCAGTTTGAAACGAACGAGACAAAACCCATCTCTCCATTCATTCATGATGTGCATGAGCATTACTGGTTTTTCAACGGTACAAAAACCAGCTGGTCTCCATGTTAGCGAATCTTAGTCTCTACAGCATCGACCTGAAGAGCTGCTCCTGTCCTGCTCAGACCGCTTTAAACCACCGGCTGCTGGCGTCGGTGGAGCAGAGCCTCCTCTCAGCCCTCTCTGACTTTGGCGGCGAGGGCAGAGTTCTCCTGTCGGATTGCTTTGTAGTCGTCCATGATCCTCTCCAGGTTGGTCACGGTTTTGTTACAGTTTTCCGTCTCAATCTGCAGACAACGGTCAGACAACAATTCATCAGCCACAGCGAAAAGAATTTCTATTCACCCGATAACATGGCAAAAGCTGCTGCTTGAGGTTTTGTATACTTGAATTTGGATATACAGCAAAAATGATGTCAGTCTCAAAAAGACACAAAAAGTTTGGCAGATTTGTCACTTGATGCTTGAAAAAAAATTGGCTAGAGGGGTTTGAATAGGCAAGAGATATAACAATAAAGTCACTAAATTAGTGACTTAACGACGTATCGATCCACTTTTTTTACTTCCAATAACCAATACACACACGTATCTGATGATACCGATCCATAACACTAAAGCTAAATCAACTTAAAATGTTTGTTTCTTTTAAGCAAAGAATTGAGTCCACTGAATTACACATTTATTTGATAACTGCACCAATACAGCACACTTACAAACACCAAGAGTTTCAAAAAACTTTGTTCAGTGAGCACAATTACGAGTACAAAAGTGTAAAATAAATAATGAAGAAAATAAAAAAAACAATAGGTTGACTACCTTGGTCTAACATGTACAAATAAACTCCAACAAACAAACAAACAAACGGTTGAGAAAGTGAAATTAGTTGTTCTAAATATTTTCTGGATTGGGCACATTGTCACTGATGCCCGATCTAGAACCGTTTTCAATATGGGGGCCGATACGGATAGCGAAATCGTATTGGTGCATCTGTAGTGCAGTGGTGGCCTGGTGGGTGGGTCGTTCAGCTAGTCGTCTCTCACAGCAGCGCCCGGACGACAGAGGCTGGTTTGTACAAATATATTAAATTGGTGGATAAGATTAGCTCCACACGGCAGCGTCTGCATTGCCAAAAATGACTGGGGGTCCGTTGGTGTACACGTTTCACTCAGACTTTGTTTAAGGACGTTACTATGTTTCAAGATATTTAGTGAACTTTAGCAGAAGACCATTTGAGTGACGTTGTGGGCAGGCAGATGCATTTGACTGCTTCAGCACAAAAACAGGAAAATGAGCTAAGTCTGCTGAAGCCTACCTGTTCCTCCAGATCTCGAATCTCTCTCAGAATTGTTCCCGTGTCCTCAATGGTTTGGATCAGCTGGTTGCAGTTCTGTAGTGAATGACAGAGACATAACAGGAGACCGTTTCCTGACATGAACCAGCACAGACGACAGAAAGATCAGGGTCTTGGACCCACAGTGACACACCTCATGTAAGGCAGCCAGGTACTTGTAGGATTTGCGCACAGACTCATCTTTCTTGGCATCCTAAACAGAACAACAGCAAAAGGATTAATTCTTAAATGAAACAAAAAGAGATACATTATCGATTCCTGGAAGCAGCTGCATGAAAAACAAAAAAGTGTGACTGAAGATTTTTGCAAAGTTAGAGACGAGCCTGCTACCTTAAAGACCAGCTCATCAGTCACAGCAAACGTCCGGTCCAGTTTCCCAGTGAGGCTGTTGATCTCCTTCTGCAGCTCCTTGGTGTCTGACAGGATCTGAGGAGAAGTTGGTGAAAGAAAAAGCAACGGAGGCACAACAGAGTCCAAATTATTTCTCTTCAACGTAATGTGACTAACTCCATGAATCCTAGAAATCTGTGAATTAGCTTGTGCTCTTCACCAACTTCTTCAAATCTTACCTTCGTAATTTCCTCCTTCTGTTTTTTGATATTGCCAACAATTTCTAGGATTCTCTGAGTGTAGGCTGATCGAGACACGTCCTGGGGAAGGCTTTCCAATTCAGTCACCTTCAGAGGTGGAGAAGAGAGACAAGGCTGACTCAAACACACCCAGTATTAAACCAACCTGGTCATACATTAAAAAAAACAAATGAATAAATACATTTCTAAGGGGTCGTTTCAGCATCAGTCGGGCCAACAGCGGCACACTTCGCATTTGACTTAAAGCAATGTCTTGCTGGGCTGAAAGTTCATTTGCAAACAGATGAGGAGATAAACGCCGGAGCAGCAGAAAGTCAGGAGGTCAGCGCGGGGTCAGACTGTGTCTCCTGACTGGCTGAGCTGCTCCTTCTAAAAAGACTTTCAGTTCTAAGCCCTCCACTTTCCCAAAAAACACTGCTCCAGCCCAAGCAGGTCTGCATATCTGCACCAACACTGTGCTGAGTCGACACTTCTTTCATTCTGTCATCACTCTGGCTATGACACTGTGGCCCTTGATGGGGTGACACTACAGGAAGTACAGAGCATCCCTGGCGGTGTGAATGTGTGAAACATCAGTTGTGTACCTCATTTCAGACGTCTTTGTTCATCACCTTATTTGCCTCTATGAAGGTTTATTCTGTTGGGCTTACTATGTACTGCTTCATGTGTAAATTATGTAATCTGAATAATTACATAATTAAATGATACTGATAACTGGTGTTTATTTTCATCTTGTTGCTTTTTGTTTCTGGAGGAGGTTGCTTATGTGATATTTGTTTGGTCTAGTAACGGTCATGGGTGCTGCAGCACATAACTGTAAATAATATAAATTTTTATTTACAAAAAAGTGATTGGCCCAAATTTTAATACTGCTAGATATCCCAAACTGCAACTCTTCCGCAGTCTCACAAACAGGAACGCATTCATCACGCAATCATAAGAAGATGAGGCAGAATTAGCAGACATACCAGCTGCTTGTATGACTCTTCTTTCTTCTTCGCCTCCACTGTGGCTGCACGGATTTTTTCATGCAGAGACTTGATCTCAGAAAGCTTTGTGGAAGACTCAAGCTGTGGAAAACGGAGGCGACATCAGCACCACCAGAACTGGCTGAACAGAGGTCATATTTACTCCACCACTCACGTCCTTGGTGCTGCAGATTTCTTTTAGCCTGCGATGTTCTTCAATAAGTGGAGCGCGATGTTTTTCCCACTGAGATGCCAGATTCACCACCCGGTTGGCACTGGCCTCCACCTGGGCCTGCAGGGCCGAGCAGAAACAGGGGAGTGAAGAAGAGCTTCTCTGAGGCTGGATCAGAGTTTCCACACATCCTTTCTTACCTGAAGCTTTTGCAGGTTGTTGTCTGCGTCTGGCAACAGATCGATAGTTTTCTTCTTTACCTGCATCTTCTCCTCATTTTTAGTATTTTCCATCTCTCTCTGCTTCAGTTCATCAAATACCTGCCAGCAAAGCAACATTTTTCAGTCTATATGCTTCTAATATTTTTTATAATATGAAGTTTATACCAGTTATCAAAGCAATCTCCAAGGGAACAAACTGAAGCAAATCAATGCCTTGGAGCTACAGGCTGTATAAGGGGCGCTGCAACACTTCCTGCTAGGCCTGCAAGGGAGGCATGTCTGGTATTGTCTGATAGTACTTTGGTCATCTTTCATATCAAGGCTCATTAACATTGCTGACCCAGAAGCAACGGGTCAGCCCCCCTTTTTGACAGCTTCAGGGCAGCCCAGGGCCGAGTTTCTGTCTGGGAAATGGGCCCACCACCTGGCGAGTGGAGGCTCCTATTAGTGTCGTGGTTTCCAAAGATTTTCTGGGCCCCCCTATATATTCCAATAAAATCCCACCCCCCCAAAAAAGAAAAAAAGACAAAGAAATCAACTGGGCACAACACATCCCAGAGTGTGTGCCCAGGTTTATGTCTGTTCAACCAGACATAAAGCTGTACACATATTTTGTTTTCAAACTTCACTGAAGTTTATTTCACACTTCAGTTTACAACAAAACACACTACAAAGTACCTTTACAGTGAAACACTTTTGTGTAACTGTTTTTTTTTTTTTTTTTCCCCATTTGTCCATAATGCTTCCCGTTCCCCCTGTACTGGCATTGCGTTCCCCCCAAGGGGGTGCACCCCACACTTTGAGAACCACTGCTTTAGTGTATAATTGTGGAGTACTTCAGTTGTGTTTCCTTTTGTTTTTCTTCTGTTTGTTTTGGTTTTTTTGCATTTCCTTTAATTCATGTAATTTGACATGCTGAAATTGTGCTCTATAAATAAAATCACCCTCCCTTCGCTGTGAGGAAGAAGGACATCTAAATGCT